TCTTCGACAATGGTGAGATTTATTGTTACCAATCCTTACCTACTGATCATTAACTTTATGTGTGTGTGTGTGTGTGTGTGTGTTTGGTGTCTGTGTGTGTTGATGTATGTGTGTGTTGTGTCTGTGTGTGTGTGTGTGGTGTCTGCGTGTGTTTGTGTGTGTGTTGTATTTGTGTGTGCTGATGTATGTGTGTGTGTGTTGTGTCTGTGTGTGTTGATGTATATGTGTGTGTGTGTGCTGTGTCTGTGTGTGTTATTATATTATATTTTTATTATCAAATTGTTATCCAAGATATTTGTATCGTGATATTAAGGTTATTAAGTATTAGTATTCCATATAATTGTACTATGGTATCACTTTTATCTAGTATCAAACGTAACTGTATCATGATATCTTTCATTATTAATAACATATTAATTCATAATTGACCACATTAGCCGGCGATAACGTGGTATTGAAAGGTTATTATTTATTCACAGCCCCCTCAGACGATGGTGGTGGTGGTGGTGGTGGTGGTGGTGGTGGTGGTGGTGGTGGTGGTGGTAGTGACAACGATGGGGATGAGGTAGCCATAAGAAGTGGTGACGATCGTGATGATTTTGGAGAAGAAGATGATGACGACGATGATGAAAAAGTACCTGATGGTTATACATTCAACCGGGTTTTTAAAGATGATTTGCACGGTGATAATGACGATGATGATAACGACGATGATGATGACGATGATGGTTATGATGATGCAGGTGATGATGATGATGATGAAAGCCAAAGTATAACATCTAATAAAGTGCTCGAAAATAATGATGAATACGACGACGACGATGAGGGTGATAACGATGATGATGATGATGATGACGTCAATAAAGACGGCGTTAATGATGATGATGATACCGGAAAAAACCTTGACTTCAATCAATACTTCTCATTAACCGTGTCGTCAGCATCATCTCGACCTCCGTCTTCATCATCGTCGTCGTCATCATCACTCTTGATATCACCATCATCATCATCATCAGACAACATCTTCAGTAACAATTTCAAATACGGTCCCAACAAATTCAACAACAACAACAACACGAACTCCTTTTATTACGACGACATTGCTAACAGCAACAAACAAAACAACAACAACAACGATGACCTAAATAACAATAATGAGGTCATTATAAAACTGACCAATGATGATGGGGAGTCGTTGGGTGCGACTAAAACCATCATCTTTGCCATCATCACGGCCTTTTTAGCTGTTCTCATTCTGTGTGCACTCGCCTTGTCTGTTTGTTTTTTCGTCAGGTTGGCTATTAAGACTCCATGATATTTGATTAAGCTTCTATGAGTTAGGCAGAACGATAGCGTAATGGTCAAGATGCTTGGCTCTGCGACTGAAGTGACCGTGTTCGAATACAAACAATGCACGGGTCACACACAACAATATGTTTATCGATCTCTTCTTCAACTACTTTTATGTCTGTCCATCTTCCAATTCCTTCATCTATCCATAAATCTGTCAACCCATCATTTCATTCATCTATCCATTTACATCATCATTATCTGTTCAACCATCTATCCATCCATTCCATCGGCCGTTCAAAAATCCATCCATTCGTCTGTCCATCGATTCTTTTATTCATTCTTTTATTTATTCTTTTATTCATCGATTCCATCCATCCGTCACCAGATACCATTGCAGGTCTCGCAACCGCACATCCTCCTCCTCCTCCTCCTCCTCACCATCTCCCATGATGACTCATGCTAAACGCTCATTGGTTGAGACGAATCACGTGACGTACGACCTTGGCGATTTGACCTTGATAGTGCCGGAAGGAAGTGCATTCATGAAGAAAGACATGAAAGCGCCGAGCGACGAGGTCAACGGACGAATAAAAAATAATGTGGCAGCCAACGTCTGCGCAAACAAAAACAACGATAATAATAATAATAACAATAATAATTATAATAACAATAAAAATAACATTATCGTGAAAGATGATAATGAGTCTGATGATGAAAGTAGCATTATTAAGGGGCAGGTAATAAGCGATGTCCTCAAGGCAGCCGATAGTCACAATGACTCTGACGATGTGAATAATTTAGTTAGATTGACACTTAACAGGGACACGCAAGTCGAAACAATAAGCTCTGACGGACAGGCAACAATTCAATTATCGCCAACTAATCAACAACAACATCAACAACAACAACAACAGTATCAACAACAACAGTATCAACAACAATATCAACAAAAACAACTTTATCAGTTATACTTTCCAACTAAAAACAAGCCCCTCCAGCAGCAATACACGTCTTCAATTGTTTCCAACGACAACAAAAAGTCAACATTAAAAAATTCTTCACTGGCAATTGCAACATCAACGACAACACCAACAAAACATTTTACGCAAACAACAACAACGACGTCGTCACCATCCTTGCAGCAACAACTTCAGCCACAACAAAACGCACCACCATCAACTGCATTCCACGAAACGGTCGCCATCAGCAGCGGGAAAGCATCCATCGACGTTCAACTATTTGCTTCCGACAGACGTATGTGCGCAACCGGAAAAAGTAATAATCTTTTAGCCGGAAGTAAACACTTGAACGCGCTCTTAATGTCTGCCGGAAATGAATATCCATCGGGAAAAGATATTAAAAACACAGAACGTCGACGACGAGAGTTGTTGCAACATCAGCAACAAGTTCAGCAACTGCTCAGCAACCAAATGCAACGCAAATTACAACAACAACATGTTTTTCAACAACAACAACAATTGAACTTGTTGACGCAACACAAACAACAACTTCAACATCATTTCTACCAACAACAACCTCAACAACAGCAACAACAATTATTTTTCTACCAACAACGACCTCATGTATTTCAGTCGATGCAACAAATTTATTCAACCCTGCAACAACAACAACCGCAACAACAACAACATCTCTTCAACAACAACAACAACCTTTGGATCCACACAAATTCTCCTTCATTGTGCAGTTTAAGTGAATAATCTCCAATTATTTCGCGCCAGTTTCATTTTTATTTTCCAATTGAACTCACAATAAACGATCGAATGCATTTTTAAATTGTAACAACTTGACTTTAAAAGACATTAATTAGTTTTAACGACAGGAATTAAAAAATGCTTGCAAATGGTCGTGATGGTGACGACGACGATAAAATAGTATTTGGCAACAGAAGCAACGATAAAATAATTATCATGACATTGATAAATACAGATATAACATTTCATTCAACATGGTTTTCACAACAAACAGTAATTCAATTAAGCACACTTATATTATTTTACAGAATTTCGACCATATTGAGTTTACATTAAAACCCTTAACATGCCGACAGATTCAACGCTAGAAAAAAGTCCATCTTCACCGCCCATCCCTGATTGTTTAGCGACACCACGTGATAGGGAAAAACGTAAACAAAAGAAAAAGCGAAGGAGGGCAGTGATGGGTGATCTGCCGGATCCGTACCGACAGAGTTGGGTGCAGAACTCATACGATTCCTAATATACGTTTTCCATTTGATTCCTATATCCTAATTTACATTTCCAAATTTACATTTTATAATTTTTGTAACATCCAGAGTACTTTAGTTCATTGAAATCTTTTTCGTTATATTAATTACGATTATTTACCGACACATGTATAAGAACATATCGATAAAGTTTACTACAGCTGAAATCCTTTTTTGTTGATTAATTTTAATACGCATAAAACAAAAATGAAAAAATTGTTTATTTATCTGGAATATTATTGTTAAAGTGAGAGTTTAATATTTTCCAATAGTTGTTTTTTAATTATATAAATAAATAAATTTTTTGAAAAATTTCTGCAAACTTGTCTTGTGCAATCTGATATTTTTGAAAGTATTTTTATTTAGATTTCAATTAGATGCTAAAACTTTATATTAAATCTATACTCCATAAAGACATGGCAACTTTGGTATTTTTATCTAAATTTTACGAATTTCATCTATCCCGTTTCTTATAATTCCTTCCAGGAAACGAATGGCTGGGTTCGGAAGAGGAAAGATACCAAATAAGATATAGATAATTTCGAAGATACCAAATAAGATATAGATAATCTTGAAGGTACTAAATAAGTTTTATAAAATCTCAAAAATACTAAATAAAATGAAGATAATATCAAGGATACCAAACGAGTTATTGGTAAACTCTAAGATAACCTGGAAAAGATAGTTAATCTCGACTATATCAAATAAAATAGTGATAATCTCAATGATACCAAAAAAATATAGATAATCTCGGAGATACCAAATAAGATATAGATAATCTCGGAGATACCACATAGGATATAGATAATTTCAAAGATACCAAATAAAATATTGATAATCTCCAAGTGGCCATTTTTTTGTTTCTACTTGTTTGCATTTGTTTTTTTTTCTTAGTTACGTCACCACCTTTCACAAATATAATTCATTCAATCCACTAAACACAGTGCAATGTGCGCGATAGGCTTGTATGAAGTGAACATGCAAACAGGAGAGCACTAATGGGTGTAATGTTGAGTATTAAATATTTCTATAACTTTCTCTCGTATCTGTAAAATATTACTTTCGATTTGATATTCATCAAATGAAATTTTTCCTGTTTTTCATTTATAAAACTCGAATAATTTGATAAATTAATGATGATATTTTTATGATGAAAATTTTTTGTAAGATGATAGGCAATATATGTTTTCAGTAATTTTCACCGATACAAATTTCACTGAAAAGTTTAAATATTAGAATTGATTAAACTTTTTTGAAGCCCAGTTTTTAGTTTGATACTCGATACGAAATAATTAATGGAAGTAAAAAATGTTTCTTTACCATGGTTTTGGTGAACCACTGATTAAAAATTTCAAATTAAAATCATTCACAGTGTTTAGATGCCTTATCGATCTATGGAAAAAAACTTGAGTTAAACTGTTGAGAAGTTATCGATGTTTGTAAAATTAAATGCAGACTACAAAAATAAAATGAAAAAATTGAATTTGCATACCAAATTGAAGATTTTACCTTCATTTAAACTTTTGATTAATTCAAGATCCAAACTGGCTTCTTAAAATGACATAAAATTCAAACTTCAAAATAGTTTTTCGAACGAAATTAATAGGGTAACTTACGAGAAAACGAAAATAAACTAGACATAGTTTAAAACAAGCGAATTTCTATCATCTGTTATATATCAAATATAAATATAAATTTGGTCGGTAAAGTAAGTATAAAACAAGCGGAAAGTTCTTTTTATTATTTTTGTAAAGTTAAATTAATGCTTTTCGAAGTGCAATAGATAGATTTTATATACATAGTATTTTCAATAATATTTTTAATGTATTATAAATAACAAAAAAAGAACGCCATTAAGTTCTTACGGTGATGTAAATCCAAATACATGTTCTACGCTCGATCAATCTTTTCTTATTGACATTTGCATGTAAACTGAAGATATTAAAATGTTAAGAATCGATAATTAAAATGCACAAAATTGAGAAAGTTAAGGTACTGTATTTTAAAACTTAAACTCAACTGCGGTGAAATAATATTTGAAAGAAGTTTCAACAGCATTTCATCTCATTCTACAATGAACTGGTACAAGAGTTTGCTGATTTTCATTGCTCTTTGCTGTCACCGTCAGTTAAGTAAGAGTTTTCTCATTATGCTTTATATTATTATCAGTACATTTATTTAGAAAATAGTTTATATATGCTAACCAATAATAATGTTCATTTGAACAAGGAAACTAAATTTTTTTCAAATATGATTACAAATGGATGAACATAACAGACATTTATTATTTTATAATTATAAACATATCCACACATATTTCGTGCAATATTTTGAAAATATTTGCCAACCTTCTTTTTCTTTCTCGTGCCTTATCCTTTCAGGACATTGGCGACCATCGACCTCCACAAAACCCGATCTTGAACACTTTGTAGTATTTGAAATGTGGTGAAATTCAACAAGTGGCACAATAACTTCACGAAAGTTAATCGTTGTTAACCGCGATCTCTTTCCCCAGTAATCTTTCCAATAGTTGTTAGATTTTAACAACTTTATTTGTCATGACCCATCTCATATAGAAGTAGAAAAGTTCCCAGCAAGTAATGGCTACCTACTGTCCAAAACTTTTGCCAAAAAACCATTTACGAATTTGCCAACCACTAATGCAATTTTAAATGTTCTTCAATTTCCATCTAAATACGTTGGAGTTTTCAACAAATTTTTTGCCGACAGCAGGTGGAACAGAATCCATTCTATGTGCAGTATGCTCCAACAGAATTTCATTTAAAGTTGAATTCGAGGAGTGCTTCAAACGTTCTCTAGTTAAGAACTGCTCAATGGAATGCTTTGCCTATCTCTATATTGATTTCCTTAGTGAGTATTGTCACTATATAGTTAAACAACCACTTCAAAGAGAGCATGGTAAGATAGCGATAGGTGGTAGTAAACTTCATCAAAAAGGGTTCATTAACGTCAATAAAAAGTTTGTTTGAGTAAGAACGAATTATTGTTGTTTCACTGTCTAACACTTGTTTACAAAGCGTGCGCATATTAATTTGCGTTGATAGGTACATTTAAGTCGAGTTAAAATTTTATACAATAAATGTATTACATAAATAATATTGTGTTAAAGAAGTTGATGTAGTGAACGAGAGAATTGGATTGATGGATTTTTGCATAAGAGTGCATTTTATATCTTATAGGTAACTAAGAGATCATAGATATTTCGAAAACATCACCCGACATCTACAACAGTACAACATACATACATGCAACACAAACAACATAACATACATACAAGCGATTTAATAAATACTTGTACAGAGCTTATAAACTTACAATGAACATAGATAACCTTAACCTACATCACTTCTAAAGCTTATATTGTATTAGTTTCCCAATTGTTCAAGGAAATATGATGAAAATTTATTTTTCAAGTCGGTTCGTTAGTTAATAATTTCATATTTCTACTTACACAATTGCTGTAAATTACAATCTGATTATTTTGTGTAAATATTTTTTGCGGATTATAAGTAAGGTATGCCGACATTGAGAAATCATGCAAGAAAGAAGTAGTGTTAAGCCAAGGTAATGGAACATAAGAAGTACTGACAGGCCAAATTGCTGAATCAAACTCCGAACTAGATATCTTAGCACGATTCAAATCATCTCTGGGAAACTGCGATACACTTATTGAGTTATTTTCCGAAAGTTAACCAACGTCACGGATTTCAGGCAACCCAAAAACGTATTGTATGAGATGCTCATTCAAATGTCGAACACATCAACGTGCCATACCCCGAACATGGAACCAATTGCACTGAAGTGAACTTTACGATGCCGATGATGTTTGCTCGGTCAATATTGAAATTGAAAATTGAGGTTAAAAATTGATTTGCTCAACAAATTTAACGTAAACTTGACTTTTTGGACATAGAAAGTTTAACTTTCGGATAAACTTTTCAAAATTAATTCAAATTAATGGCAGTCACCTTAAAAAATGCATTTGCTAAAATTGTTGACGTTTAAGTTAAAACTTGTTTATTTATAGGATTAACGTTTAATTTGTTTTACTATGGCGTATCTGATAAAACAATTTTACCATGTTTTATTTTAGTTTTCTAGCATTATAATACAAGAATAAAATTTTAAAATTTGAAATAGAAATTTCTCAGCCTATAGTGAACAATGACATATTGTCTGTCTTCTAACTCTAGCATAGCTTCTCTAAATTGTTCAAAATAGTTTAATAGCTGATGTATTATTTCATTGCTTGGTAAAGTTTAGTATTATATATATATATATATATATATATATATATATATATATATATATATATGTGAGTGTGTGTGTGTGTGTGTGTGCATGGGTGTGTATGTGTGTGTGAGAGAGAGAGAGAGAGAGAGAAAGAGAGAGAAAGAGAGTGTGGGTTTAAATGTAAACAAACCTGAATTTAAAAATAAAAAAATCAATGATTTCTACATAATGTTAACAAGTCGAATAAACATTTCAAGATAGAAATCCAGAAATGATGTCTTGGTTCAAAATAAAATAAACAGTGCTTAGAAATTTATTATTAATTGCATATAGTTAAATAAATATGTAAGAGTGTTGCAAAAAAACTTCTATATTATTATAATGGTGAAGAATTAATTATTATGTAATATTATTACTAGATAGTAACCAATACCGATACAAAATACTTATGACTGAATGTTATGTGTTAATAAGAATATAAATTTAACGATATAACACATTTACATAATAGGATTTGTAACTTAAGAAATACAACTTATCGCTTCAGTAGGTTTCTCCTCTTTTCTGAAGTTAACTCACACACATGCACGCAAGCTCTCACACACGCAAACACACACACACACATATAAACAAACACATTCACACACACATAAACACATTAAAACAGATATAATATCGGATTCAATCAAGGTTCACAAAGTTATGTTATAATAGCTAGCTATCAAGATCTTCAGATGATTGTGCCGTCTTCAATATATTATATTAATTAAATTAAAATAAATTATATATATACATATATATATATATATATATATATATATATATATATATATATATACCATTACATTACAATACAATACATTGCATATAACTATACACATCATCCATACATTATATATATATATATATATATATATATATATATATATACTAATGTAAATATATATATACTAATGTAAATATATACACGTACAATATTACATTACAGTACAAAATTTTAAACACACACAACACCACATTATGCCACATATAGATTACATTAACTACCATTCAGTTGGCGTTGAGCTCGGCGTTGGATTTATTATTTATTCTGTAGTCTCTAGGTTTCGTCTGACGAATAATACCTAATCATTCTTTTATTTGTTTATACTTGATTATTTTCGTTTAAATTTCCAGGTTTTATTGAATGATTAATATTTTTTAAAATTGAAATTTAGTTAGAAAAAAATATATTAGCGTGTATTTATTTAAAGATTGGTAATTTATGTGTTTTGCCAATTGTTGTTCTCTCTCTCTCTCTCTCTCTCTCTCTCTCTCTCTCTCTTTCTCTCTGCGGAGCAGGTAACTCTTATTTCAAACGCAAGATTCGTCACTCTAATTCCTCTCCTAGTGCATTAGGATTTGAAAAGTTTAACTGCAAACTATTTTTTAAAATCAACTTGACAAGCGATTAGACGGTTGAAAATGAACAAGTTACAGTTGCTCGTTGCAATGGTAGTCTGCCTCATTCATCGCCAGTCAGGTAGGTAGGTAGGTAAATAGATAGATAGCTAGATAGATAGATAGATAAATGATCGTTTATTCGTTCGCAGTTTGAAATGGTGTCTGATTTCTTAATGATTCAACTTTATAAAAATTTTAATACGTTGCCATCCATGTTTATTAATCACTCAATATACATTTTAATCATAGTAATAAGAATTAATTTTTATGTGACCGAAAATTTAAATAACGTACCTCAACAAAAAATTTTTCATAATCGTTAAATTATTGTGGTTTTATTTTAGCCTAATATAAAATTTCTCTTACAATTAAAGTTATAAAAGTTACAATGCAAACTGTTTAATGTTGTAGAGGTCGGTGCGAACCAACCCCCCCTGCTATGTGCAGAGTGTAGCAACATGGTGATAGCTCCGAACATCATCCCCCAACGATGTTTCTCCGTTTCTCCTTTCAAGAACTGCTCCATGCAGTGCGCTGCTAACTTGTTTTTTGATTTCAAAGGTTTGACATTTCGACTTGTTTCTGTTAGTTATACAAAAAAAAATGAAATTTGAGAAGCTGTGAAATCGATTACTTATCATTTTAAAGTTGAATGTATTTTAATTAAATTTGTGGATATTTGTAAATTCGGATTAGCCTAGGGTATAGTAATATTTTACGTTTTTATTCGTTTCATTTTGTTTTGTCTTGTTTCCTTCATTCAAATGCCGTCTCTGAGAAAATCAAAGACTGTCCTTCTATGTCGTGTCTGTGATTTTGTGCAAACGCATGCATGTAAATGTAGGAGTGCACTAGGCAGTGCGGAAGTTAACAAACTTTTTCCACATAAACATTAGCCGAAACTAAGTTAGACGAAACCACTTGTCAGCAGGCATGCAACTGTCGAAGCGAAACTGCACATTTCACAACAAGACAGTCGATATTTTTAACTTTCTATCCCAGAAACTTCTCAACCTTACTCTTGTTTAGCTTCGTGCTTTGACAGAGAAACGCTTATAATCTAACATTGCAAATATCTTCCCGCCAGTTCACACCGTGACTATTGTGAGGACATGCATGGGCGAAAGGCATGGCTCTGGCGAGAAGGAAAACACCATATTCCTCTTCAACCTTTACAACTCATCACTGTCAAACTGCGGAACTCCTCAGGAATTATTTCCCAAGAGTATTATTGAAAAGTTTAGCGCGAGCAAGAGAGAAAAGTATGAAAAGTTCATCCAAAGATGGACATCGTCAGTTTGCGATAACGATGTTGAGGTTAAAGATTTGGATGAGGTCGAAGGTCAAACTAGCCTGACATACACAACCACATCAGCAGAATCTTTAAGACAAGACTAAGTTTTCCACTACAGCAATATTATACCTCAAAATCTGAACGAAATTCACTTACTTTTTTTTAGTTTAAAACAGCTGTTTATTTTATAAAATTTTTATAGATATTGTTTGTGGATGTAGTTTCGAGGTTTTTTTTTTTATACAAACTCAGATCTAACTCTTATTTTTATAACTTGTGCAGTTAATCTTATGATATGGTATAATATCACATATTATAATATATTATATATAATCTTATGATATACGATAAATACAACGTAATATATTTGTGTGATCTCTATGATGTATGTATACTCTATGTTACATGTTTATATACCATACCACACCTGTCTTCTTAGAAATGATAGTATTTTTACATCATTCGTATTAATGCTGTTCACATTCTGAATAAAACTTTTTAAATAATCGTGAAATTGAGAGTGATTCAAACGAATAAAATTAGACACTGACTAAATCGATATGGATAATTCACACGAACGGACGTTTTTTAATTGTAAACTTCATAGGGCGAATGTAATAAATCGGCATGGGGTCTCGTTTTGATTGAGCAAAGTGAGGCAACATTTGAAACATGCTATTATTTTATAATACTAATTTATCTAGTAGCTAAAAATTTTATAAATTTGTAAAAAGCGCTTTTTTATCCTATGTATTGACGTTTTCTTAAAGGTTTTATCGTTAAAGATTAAATTATAGACCGCGCAAATCCTCCATCTAATCTCAATAGTGTTCTTTATTATTTATTTCTATGTCTTTCTTCAATTATCGCTTGGTCTGACTCTATGTGTTAACTATAAAATAAAAATTATTTTTTAAAATTTGAATATTTTTGTATATGTCTCAATCTAAATTATTTCCTAATACTTATCAGATTTATAATTGAACCTAAACGCCCCATTTTACGATCGTCTTCTTGTTCTCACTTTTTCTTAACTCGTGTTAAACACTCTTTAGCTAAATCTGCTTTTGCTTTTTCTGGCTTTTTTCTCTGGAACTTTCTACCTCCTTCTCTGACTTCTTTTCCATCACTTAAAAAGTTCAGAGCGGATCTCAAGATTCATCTAATTGCAATATTAATTGAGGAGCGCTGTTGAACATCGCGAAAATAGCGCTTTGAAAACTCATTGATTGATTAAAGTCAACTATTATTTTAAAACGGACTATGCACATTTACGCACATGTAAAATTGATACACAGATGAAATGTTAATAATTATGTACTAATTAATAAATTTTTGTTTTAACTTTTGGTTGTTTTAATAGTTTTTCGAAAGTTAATAAACTCAAAAACAAATTTTTAAATTAATGAAATTTATTGAGGAGATGGAACAAATAGATTTTGTAATTGAAATGAAATCATATTTTCATAATCCTTCTTAAATTCTGCCGGTGAAGTCGCATTCCGGGCGTTCCCAGTTCTTGACGGCATCCTTGAATGTGGCCAGCTGAGCTCCGGACAGGCTGTTGTGGCTGAAGAGGATCTCACCGTTGTCGCAGTTGCTTCCGTATTCGCTGAAGAACCTCTCCATGAGGATTTCATCACCATTGACACTGCTCTGACCCAACTCCTTGCCCTCTGCCGTGCATGACCTCTTGAACTCCATGGTCTTGGCTGAATATGGAAATGATGATGTTCACAAATTTTTTTTATGAAAAATTATTTTTCATTTTAAAACTTTGTTCTGGATAGTCCAGCACAAAACTTACAACATAACGTGTAAACATAACTTAGTCTATTTACCTTGAATTGTTATAAAACTACTCGTCTAAGACTCTATCCGTGAAATACAACGAATTAATAAATAGGACCGGTGAAATTTTATAAGCCATGAAAAGGACGCTGTATACAAACCAGCAGTGTTGATCTTCAGTGAGGCGTAGCATCCATGTTCGTCAGCCTTGCAGTCACTTAGCACAGGCTTTAGGAAGCAGTCGTCCGTCAGACCTGCTCCCAGCGAAACTTTCGCGTTGCAGATGGAGCAGTAGTGGTTGGCTGCATGGGCGTCTGTCGCCGTCGTCGTTTATAATGAATATTTATTCAATTTTGAATTTAATTCTGGAGACGTTAAGTAGTAAAACGTGTGTGTTAGAATTTTGACTGATTTGTAGGTAGCGTAAAGTCTGGGAAATATAACATTAGAAATAATAACCAACGGCAATTTAATAATTTTTAAATTAATTCTAATTAATTAAGGTTTATTCTCAAATAAAATTCATAAATGAATTTCAAAATAATTAAATAAATGATCTTTGAGTGGCAACGAACGAGAGTCAACTTACATTCATAGGCCAGCAAAAGGACGACAAAGAGTACCTTCATTTTTCGTAGGAGATCAACTGGTCAATCTGAAATAAAATTAAAAAATTAAAAATAATATACTCGTTAATCTCATCAAACAGCATTCACAAAAACAACTCCCAACACGAACAGCTAAAAAACACTCGCAGGCTGATTTCAACACTGTGGGACTTTCTAGTTTGCTCGTTGAGGTCCTCCGCTTTTATAGAGACTTCTCGTGTATGTTTCTCATACGTATTTTTGTCTATAACTATTTTATTTTTTCAAACATAGAAAATACGCTACCACGCTCTACAAACAAAACAATAGACCACGCATATGATATTTTTGGTTGAAAGAAATTTTTGCAATTAAGCCAAACCACGCTGTACAATTCTTTTATGAAAAACTCTTCTTGGGTATTAATAAATTTTTTCCAAATTTGTTTTTAATAGTTAATTTTTTAATTATTATTATTATTAATAATTGTGTTTCTCAATTATTAAGATATTAAATTAAAAAAAATAGACGCAAGGATATAAATTTCATGACTTTTTTAAACATTTTATACAAAATTTCTTATTGTTGCATGTAATTTAGTGAGTTTTATATTCTCCTTATTAACGTTTCTATCGTCATTGCGTCAAATATGAAACAAAAAAAAACAAAAAAAAACATTATGCAGATGAAATTTTTTATTTGGCGTGGTTAATTTTGTGAAAATAATGAACAACGTTATAGCGACGAACGATGGGTTGGTTGAGCAGATGTTTCGAAAAACGTATCACTTATGAATGGTACCACTCAGTTTCACTCTACGTTCAAAATACGCAAACTAAACTATTTATATTATTTGCTTTAGCCAAGCTCGTCCGAGAGAAAAATTTAAACTATATCATCTCATGAGATTGAAAAAAAACCTTTTGATGTTCAGTGAGTGGATTTGCGAATAGAAATAAAATATGAAGCATATGAATTCTTTATTTTCTGTAAAATAAAGAATACAAGAATATAGAATGTATTAGATGTAATGTAACCATAGAATCCAAAGCAACAAGCTTACTTGTAACAATCCTTGAAAATCAAATCTCCAATCTCAGAATCTAAATTTTATTTTTTGTGTTTTTAAATCGTCGGTTGCGTCTGAGAAATTCTTTTTCCACCTCCATCTTGTTTTTTTTTCAAGTTTGTTTTACTCAGTAATGAAACCATTACAAAAATAATTCTACCAAATTGCTTCTGTCATTATCTTGAAAAAATATTCTACTGATATCACGTCTTTTTACAGTGAGACCCGACGCCCAAAAATTTAAGTGCCACTCATATTTCTTACTCATCTGCCAAAGATACGGTACTTTAGTTGCCAAACCATAACAGTTTTTAAGCAGCAGAATGATGTTATGATCAAGATGCTGGTGTTTTAGCCGCGAGTTTTATTATTATTTAAATTGAAATAGAAAATAATTTTATCTAAACATGTAAAGAGTGTAAATCAAAACAACGAGTCGTTAAACATTTCAACATTCGTCAACTGCCTAATACTGCAACTGCATTTCAAATCTTTAAGGCGTTTAGTTTGATGATAACCTGAACTTCTGTATTCTATTCATTCACCTACTACACTCATTCATTTTCGCATTTATTCGATCACTCATTTATTCATTTATTTATTCATTCAGCCAGTCATTCACTAATTCACTTGCTGGTTCATTTGATCAGTCAATATTCATATCCATCCGTCTAGACATAAACATAACAGATTAACTCAGCTAGTCCATTACGCATTATTAGTTACAATTATAAAACGCCTACTAGCATTTGTTATAAATAAGCAAATGTACCCAACTAGTTCAACCTACCCGTGGTTCACGAAGCCCCGGTCACGTAAAATTACTAAAATATTTAAACAACTGATGATGTAGTTGCTAATGAGATAATTAAATACAAACCCTTTGTAAAATTTGTCATCCTAACATATATCTAGTACTGGTGTCCGGCTGAATTGTCTGTATGATTGGTCATCATAATAATTATCTAAGTACTGATCTAGCTGGATAATAACTTGGATAATTACTGTGTTTTTATAGATGTTACTGTATTGCCATTCCAATATAATAAACAATTTCTAGATACATTGGAAGTATTAGTAAGATTGTCGTTAATAACTTTTAGTTTCCATTGCAAGCTGAGTTAACAACTTGTTTGTCATTAGAGAGATTTATTATGATTAACCTCAAACTTTGAAACAAATTAGTAAGATTCCAAATTGATGTACATTAATTTCGTACATCCATTACTATCTGAACATAATTATCCAGCAGTACTTAGAAAGTATACGTCAATATAAATATAATGTAGTTAATATTGGAACCAGATGAAGAAATAAATATAACAATCTTGTAGTAAAGATTACACATAGTTTTATTTTTGTGATTTATTTAATTTAAATATATATTAACAGTGAAATGTAATTTAACTTCTCTAGTTTTCAGAGCCAACAACAGTCTAGCAACCCTTGTAACTCGAAAATATTCTAGACAGGCAACTTGGAGATTTTTATTTAACTTGGAAAATTTTAAAATTTAAAAACACTTTACTTTAAAGATTTTTCTTAATTCAAATACTATTTTCGATCCTGGAAAATCTTGAAGAAAAATCCGTCAGCCATGACAACGAGCCAGACGGAATTGATACGGATAAAAATTATTTGACCGGTCGTCCAAGGAAGAGAAAAATGAGTTTGCCAGAAGGCAGAGGCGTTCAGGTAGGAGATACCCAACCACAGGCAGACGAATAACATCACATGACCTCTCGAAAACAATCATCGTCAGTAACAACAACATCTTCTTCCGTAGTAATTGAAACGTTGTTTGTCAAGTTGATCCAGGGTGAGCTGTTGCCCGCCCCGTCAGACGAACTCTTCGAAGAGGAGTTGGATCCCGTGTGGAAGCAATCAATTGTTGGTGTTGGCTTGCACAACTTGGGAAACACCTGTTTCATTGCCTCTGTCCTTCAGTGTCTGTTGCGGATTCCAGCTTGGAATAACTATCTGATGTTCAATCACAGTGAAGAGTGCATGATTATAAACAGTGAAGAATGTTCCGCGTGCGTGCTACAGAGTCTGGCCTGGGTGCTATTCGAGAGTGATGAACCAGTCTGTCCTGTGGCAGTTGTGAAGATGAAAGACATCTGCCCGCAGATGCAGCTCGGCAGGCAGGGAGATGCGCATGAATTTTTACTCTGCCTTTTGAATTTCCTGCAAACAGAGATTACACTTGGATCGAAAGTGGATAAGTACACTGAGAGGACAACTGCACTTTCAAAAATTTTCAGCGGGTACCTCAGAAGCCAAAGTAACTAAATTTTTTATTTAACATTTTTCAGTTGTTTGTTTGTAATTTATTTTTATATCACTTTGTTTTTTAGGATCGTAAAATTTCGTTCGCTATCATCTCTATGTCTGTTATCTCCACCAATGTTATTATGAAGGTCGTAAGTTGATAAGAAGCATACAATTGTTTAATTTATTGGTCGCCGAAAGAAAGTTTAAACTTTCAATTCGATTAAACCATAAGTTAGAAAAATGATTTTCGTTTTAAACTTTGCAAATAAAAATAATAATCATCGAGTATAACCTTAAGACGGGAACAAAAATTATACTAACAAATAATAAAAAACACTAAATTAAAAAAAGTCTAAAAGTTTAAGAAGATAAAAAAGTTAAGATCTGGATGAAACATAAAAATGATGAAACATGATGAAAATAAATAAAGAGTTGTTATATAAAGAGATGACGACGATGTTAAGATGAGAATTTTTGTATAGGCTTCGTTTATAACAGTATGTTGTTAGTTTAAATTAAAGTAAAAATTTTTTACAGAGAAGATTGCGATATTGACATTTGTTTCACTAGAAAGTTCAATTGTGCCATTTGTCAAAAATTAATACCGATATTATTGACTATTTTAATGGTTTAAATAATTTAAAAAGTTAATAAAACAAAGATGTATGTTTCTTTCAGTAACTAAATTCAAAAACTATATTGTTAATCATTCAAAGAGAGGGTAATTATATGCATTAGAATGAATCAATTCTGTTTTACTCTACAGAAAGATTTGAAGTTTATTTTGACCATGAGTAATTTATTTTCTACAGCTCAATTACAATGACAAACGTTCCTTTATATCAATCCCACAGTTATATGCCAACAGTGTCGGCATGCTTCGAATCATTATGAAACCTTTTTCAACATAACTCTGGAGGTCAGTCTGGAGGGGTCAGTTGAAGAAGCTCTTAAATACTTCTGCTTGGCTGAAGATATGAAGAATACAAAATGGTATTCATGTACGAATTGCAAATTAAAACAACGAGCCAAGAAACATTTTAAAATCCATCAGCTGCCGAATGTTCTCATACTGCAACTGCAAAGGTTTGGACACTCTGATGAAAGGCCATACAAGGTAACCCACCATGTTGAGTTTGAGGAATATCTCGATGTGATATTGTACGTCAGTGCAAATTGCGCTGCTGGTTATCGTTCTAATAAACCCAACAACAACAACAACAACAACAACAACAACAACAACATATACAGACTCGAAGGCGTTGTGGTACATGTAGGTTCCTCCATAGGTTCAGGACATTATTATGCCTATGTCCTCGATCCAGGCTCACTTAGTAACGATAACAACAGTCATAACAACTACAACGAAAATTACGACAACCAGTTTTCTGATTGCAAGAGGCTTAGAGACAACAACTACAATGACAACTACGACAACAACAGTAGCAGCAGCAGCAACTGCAACCGCTACCAATACGTAGACAACACCAACAACAACCACAGATGGTACCAGTTCAACGATAATAGTGTAATTCCAACCAGCTGGCAAAATGTGAAAAAGGCCGAGGCATATTTTTTGTTCTATGTCAGAGTTGCAACTGTAGATTCAAATAAAAATAAAAAGAAGAGTAAAGTGATGATGATGAAAAATCGCGACGATGATGAAAAGACTGTTGTTGGTGATGACGATTTAAGAAAAGATGATAATGATGATGATGATGATGATGATGGTGTTGATGATGATGATGAGGATGATGAAGAAGATGATGATGACGATGATGAAGAAGATGATGATGATGATGATGATGATGAAGATGATGATGATGACGATGATGAAGATGATGATAATGATGGCGACGATAGCGATGATGATGATGATGGTGGTGATGATGATGGTTTTTATGATGATAGTGTTGTTGGTGATGATGGTGATGATAAAAAATAATAAAAGTACAATCATGGTGATAGAAGAGTGATGGCAATGAGTGATAATGATGACGATAACAAAACTGATGGCGATGATGACGACGACGATGATGATGATGAAGGCGATGATGATGAGGAGGAAAAAGAAGAAGAGTAAAAAGAGGAGAAATTATTTGATGATGATGACAACGATGATTCCTCTAATTTATGAATTATTTCAAAGAGTTATTTTGTTTTAGTTTGCTCAATTTAATAAAAAGTATGTTTTCATCAGATCTCTCTCATCTCTCTCTCTCTCTCTCTCTCTCTCTCTCTCTCTACATACATTCTAACTTAAGAATGCTACTTAACAAACTAATCTGTTCTATTTTAAACGTCTGAAAGTCTCGTCTTATACATTGGAAAGTTAGCCAGAGAAATTTTTTATAACTGAATTTCCTTTTTTTGATTTGCCAAAAGTGGCCGTATAAAGGTTCCAGTTACTAACACTCTTCCGATTCTTTTTCAGTCAGAAATTTATAAATTTTCAAAATATTTTGTGGTTTTCTGCAAGAAAGATAACTTTCCCAAGAAATATCGCCATTGTAGTTCAAGTATTTACAAAGTTTTATTTGCTAACTTAATGAACAAAATTTTTATAAGTTCAGGACTGAGCTTTGAAATTTTGAAGTTAAAATATCTAATTTATAATTTAGGAATGTTTATTTTACATGAAACCAATCGAAGTAATATGAATATTATTTTATTGAAACCAAATTAACCAGTTATACTTATCAAATTTCTATTGAAAAATGTGTTTCAATGTTTTAAAAATTGTTTCGACTGCTAATCCTTCTTAAATTCTGCCGGTGAAGTCGCATTCCGGGCGTTCCCAGTTCTTGACGGCATCCTTGAATGTGGCCAGCTGAGCTCCGGACAGGCTGTTGTGGCTGAAGAGGATCTCACCGTTGTCGCAGTTGCTTCCGTATTCGCTGAAGAACCTCTCCATGAGGATTTCATCACCATTGACACTGCTCTGACCCAACTCCTTGCCCTCTGCCGTGCATGACCTCTTGAACTCCATGGTCTTGGCTGCGTGTTCGTTCGACTCAATATTAAAAATATTTCGCGATTATTGATAATTTAACTCACCTAGTTTTCGTTATTAATATGAAGAAATATTTTATATGTTGAACTCGTTTAAACTAAATGAATAGAATAAAGATTGTAAATGGGGAAAAATTATTTTTTATTTCCATTTTCAATTTGATCTGTTCGATTTTACAATTACTTCAAGAATTTATACATACAAACCAGCAGTGTTGATCTTCAGTGAGGCGTAGCATCCATGTTCGTCAGCCTTGCAGTCACTTAGCACAGGCTTTAGGAAGCAGTCGTCCGTCAGACCTGCCCCCAGCGAAACTTTCGCGTTGCAGATGGAGCAGTAGTGGTTGGCTGCATGGGCGTCTGATGGGGTAGTTTAGGGCTAATTTTAATATTTCTTGAAGAGAATTTAAACTGAAATAATAACTCACATTGGAATGCCAAGAGGATGACAGCAACGAATAGCTTCATGGTTTTTTTTAAATCTATCTGTAAATTTATTATAACTCTATATGTAATTCGTATCATTAATTTGTTGCATTGGTTTTATAAAAGATAAATATTTTATAAATTATAGTACTGCAAAAGTTCAGACTCACTTGCAGATATCAGCAATAGGTTTCAGAACAGTTTGCCATCTAGTGTTTATATAGAAATCCCTTAAGTTATAGCACAGTTGTTCATTTTGCACATGATGATTTCCAGTATCTTTTACAGTTATTTGCTTAAGCCCCGCTCTTCAAATAACGATGAAATAATTCACCACTCAACCATCCACCGCTGTTTAAACAAAGTTGCAAGTTTTGTTTTTCAGCAATGGTATTTTTTTCTACATCAGAGTTTGATCTTTTTTCAAATTTTTCAGTAACCTTTGAATTTTTTAACAAAATGTTTAAAAAATTTGTAATAGCCAGTCAAGGTCACTTAATTTATGAGACACTTATGAGACATTCATATACAACACGCAATTTGTTTTTAACATGAATATATATATAATATTATAATATATTCATGGTTTTTAAGCAAAATATATTTACAAAATTATCATTATAAATAATAAAATTTTATTTATGTCATTCAATTTAATAATTAAAAATTTAAGTTTTTTTCCAACTTCAATTCTATTTATACCAATTTTATTATAAAATATTTTTATTGATATAATTACAAAAAAAAATTTAATTAAAAATTCAAATTTTATTTTCAGCATTAGCGTAGAGCAGAGGTGGGCAAAGTACGGCCCGCGAAGGTATGTTATGCGGCCCGCGAAGTCGAAAAAATTTGCTATTTAAGTACATATGCGGCCCTTCAAAGATAAAATAGTTCTCAATGTAACCCTTACAACAAAAAGTTTGGCCGCCCCTTACATTTGTAAACGACTCAATAGCTAGATAGATGGATTGATGTTATGATGAAAAAATGATATAATTTGTGGGTGAGATGCAAAATGCGCGACTGAAACATTAGGTCTTCAGTGTAATTTGAGAAAATGTGAGAAAACATGGATTGAAACTCTAAATAAATGTGTGAGCTAATGACGAGGAACTAAGGGATAAGTAGCAAAAAACAAAACCTATGTGTAAATTAACAAATAAGTTTGAAGAAACTAGACAAACTAAACAATGTTCTGAACGATTAAACAAATTTATTTCACAATTAAAAACACTGATTTCTATAAAAATTACAAAAAAATTGAAATCATTATTTAAAATTTTGGATAATAAAAGTAAAAAAGAAAATAGAAATGTCGACACAAATTATTGTGGATGCGTTCCCTGAGTTGAACTTCATCAGACCTTCTGATGGTACCACCTTATCATCAGGCTGAATCTTGGCGAAGCTAGCTATTTCATCATCAACAGACATCTGGAGTGATCTACCCGTTAAAACCGCAGAGTTTGTTGAAACAAAAAAAATGCTCGAACCGAATCAATCAATCAATCAACTCTACATTTATGTTATTCAGGAATAAGACTTATTCATTTTACCCGACAGAAATAGTTTCACTAAGTTGAACTCTCATCATCCGTATGTTGTCATGTGTGGCATGTGTTTGTATATGTGATGTGCGTGTGTGTGTGTGTTTGTGTATGTGTGTTTGTTGTGTGTGTGTGTGTGTGTGTGTGTGTGTGTGTGTGTGTGTGTGTGTGTGTGTGTGTGTGTGTGTGTGTGTGTGTGTGTGTGTGTGTGTGTGTGTGTGTAATGTGTAAACTACTTGAAATCGCATTACTCAAACAAAAATAATTTCACTGACTAAAATTAGGAAGAAGAAAAATTATTGTTATTAGAAGCTGCAGAGAAATCTGTCTGGGGTTTATTTTGGTTAATCGTTCAATAACTGAAAAAGGCAAACAAATATATATTTGTTGAGTTTATTTCAAATCAAAATCAATCATTATTGAAATTTAAATAAACGGAGATAGTCAGTGAGGCAGCAGTGGTTTTAATGCAGGTTGAATTTTGTTTAGAATATTTAATTATCTGATAACGAGGAAAACAATTACATAGAAAACATTATTATATAATTGGTTCTTAGCATGTCGTTATCTAGATTTTAGAAAAAAAATTTTCTCGCGAGTTCTTTGAAAACGGCAAATTATTTCTAAAATCAATTAAAAATTGAATAATATAATAACATTTACAGTAATAATTAATAATTGATGATGATTTGTTTAAACTTGATTCGTAGAGTGAATATGAAAAATCACGTGATGTTAAAAACTGCAGCACAAATCTACCGAGCCTTTCTGGTCAGAGTGAGAATTTGAAATTTCTCATCGCTTCTCCTGTTTAACAGCCAGCACCAGTTCAATGTGAGTAGAAGTTCGTGTATTTTATGACGAGTAATTTTTGAGAATTATTGAAAATAATTTTAACTACTTCAAAAATTTTGAAAAAAAAATGTTTTATGTATTCTAAGTGTTCCAGTGCTTTAAAAATTGCTCATTGTATTATTGATCCGATATTATTTGTGTCACTGGCTAGAATGTTCATTTAAACCATTCATTCGAAAAATTATTACCACAACTGTGAAAATATGCCAAAACAAAAATAATTCGACAAAATTAATATTTTAAACATTTGAAATTAACGATGCTATGGGAATATTGAGTAAAATATAGATTTTTCAATTACAATTATTATTGAAATTGGTTTTAATTTATAAATGTTTAATAATATTTAAAACCATTTATAACTCTGACAGATGTTTCCATTTCACCTCTTGCTTCTTGGAGTTTGTTGCTATGGTGAATACCATTTATTTAACTTTGTTTACTTTGTTCATTCAAAGTAGGCAATGCTCATCTTTTATTTGCATATAGTAGGAATATATGTTTAAAAGTTAAAAAGGTTAAAGGTCAATCTCTCTTGTGCACTTGCTTCAGAAGTTTCAACGCCAACGTACATGAACACGAGTGAAAACGACGCATCACACAGACACATTTTATATGATAGACGAGAATCTCTATGAATTCGAAGCCAGTCACTATAACAACGCCAACCAGGCGCTTCTTGACCATTACGCTATCACGCCGCCTATATTTGATTATATTATTTTATATGTAGAAGGCGTAACCAGAAATAAATAGTGAAGACAACGGATATATATATATATATATATATATATATATATATATATATATATATATATATTTGTATAGAGTCTTAAGTCTACGCAAATTTTTCACTTTGGTGGAACTTTAGCCAGCTCCAAAACTCGCTTTTGGTTGCCCTCTAATATGAAGATGAATAATTTTTTACCTCGATTATATATTTTTTAAAAACATTTGTCCTTTTAATTTGTACAATTCAGTGGCATTTGTTGACGCGGAATATGTTACATGTTGGGCTTGCAAGAATAGATACTTCATTGGAAATCGTCTACCGAAGAAATGTTTTAAGAAAACCAACAGGATGGAAACTTGCATTGGCCAATGTATTACTGTAGTCAGTGAAATAATAATAAATGATGATGAAGGTAATTATCCAAGTAAAAAATATATTCACTATAAATTGATGTAAAGGTATTTTTTTAAAAGAAAAAATTTCAAATTATAAATTGAATGATTTATTTGAATATTATACAAACCCTAAATATTTAGAAAACAAATCAATAACCCTTCACCACAGTCGTGGGAGTTCAAATAGAAAGATACTGTTTTGAAAGGAGAATACGTAGAGCTCCCGACCTGCAGGTAAGTAAGCAATATCAGATTAAAACCGGCCAAAATGGCAGCAACTGTGCTGCTGCACCCGATTTTGAAAGGTTTCATCCGGGTTTCGCTTCGCTGCCTTCACACCAAGATCTGATGAAAGATTGGGACTCTGCTTCGTGTGATGAACAAAATACAGATGATGAATAAAAGATATTAATTATCAAACTGTTCATAGACAAAAAATTTTTATTCATATTTTGAATTTTCGTTTAAATATATATGTAGAATAACTTTGCTTTTTATACCACGATAATAACTTCGAATAACAAACTGCAAAGTAAGCGATTAGATTTTGCATTTGTATCTAACTCAGTGGCTGGTAGATGAATGAAAAAATTAAGAAATCGTTGGCGAAGATGAGTGAAACATTAGTCCTCCAGTGTGACTATAATGATTTCCTCAAAATAAGTTTGACCTACATGGGACTTGCACCTTCAGTTAATAAAAATATTTGAAATGTGCTTATTGAATCCATAAACAAACAAACTTAAAATTAATTTTTTGTAAAAAAAAATAAATAAAAAAAATAACTCCAAAACACTTAACACGACGAGAACTTGAAAGATAGATAAATGCAAATCAACATCAATATGTTGACTAGAAAAATCAAAACTTATGTTAAACACCTCCAAATTTTTGGTAACTCATGAATTTTTTCGCAAGCGTTTGTTTTATATTGTCTAAATGGCAAATAAATTTTATGTGACAGCAAGCAATGCTGCTACTCTATCAATTTCTTTTCACGGTTTCAAATTTTAAGTTTTGAAGAGTAAAATATTTTTTTTATTACAGAACGTTTAACAACAAAATTAACGTACATTTACACAAATTTAGACAAAATATTTTGAGTTTGATGTCAAAGGATCAATAAAGATGACAATTCAGGCAATTTTGAACTTCCTCCTACTAATCAACCAGGGTTAGCGAACATGTTATATCTAATAGAACAATATCTAATCTCTCCATTTTATCGAAAATAATTAAAAGATTAGCTTTGAATAGACTTTTGGCTCATCTAACATCTAATCCAAATTTCACTTAGCAGTCTGCATATCGTGTGAATCATTCAACAGAAACAACACTTCTACATATTTTAGATAAAACTTCCAATCCATGTGACAGCAAGAGTATCACTCTTCTGGCGAGCCTTGAGCTTTCTGTTGCATTTGATACCGTCAATCATAAAATTTTACTTAATAGACTCAGTCGAGAGTTTGCCATTGGTGATGCTGCTCTAGCCTGCTTTAAATCCTACCTAAGTGATTGATATCAATTTGTCAACGTTGAAGATTTTTCAACTTTATTCATAATATTAGAGCAAGGTGTGCCACAAAAGTCTGTCCTGGGCCCACTGCTTTTCTCTGCCTACATTTCTCCCGTAAGCCATATTTTTCAACAGTTTAACATACCCTTCCATCAATATGCTGATGATACTCAATTATTCTATAATATAAATCCCCGCAATCCAACTCCTGATAACAATAACTTAACATCTTGTATTTCTTTATTTCATTCATGGTTTCTGCACAACAACATGCACTTTAATCCATCCAAAACTGAATTCATCAAGTTTTAAGAATATAAGTATGTATATAAATAATCCAGAAAATTTTTCAATGGCAAACTAACTGGTAAAAATCAGCAGATCATTACTCCCTCGTGTCAAGTAAACTAAAAATAATTTTAAACATTACAACAAATAGTCGTACAGGTTGATGCATTTATCTGTGGTTATTGTTCTGGTAAGGCGAATCTCAGCGACGAAGTCCCGAAGGATTGTTTCCTCGAGGTCCGCACAACAATTTGCCCAGTGCCTGAGAACATCTGTGGATTTTATGTTTCTATAACAGGCAAGTTAATTAAGTTGAGCATGTTTTAGTTTTAATATTTTTTCTAAAAATTTTTTTGTTTCAAAATGTTTCTGCTATTCATATTGACTAATTTTCGTTATATATAAAATAATAAATTGAAGAACTAATCAACTGAGCATTTATTCTTAAACCAATGCGATAATCTTTAGAAAATGAGTTGTACAAGGGTTTTAAATTGATCTTTGACAGTTTTATCTAATTTTAGAAACTCATTTATTTTAAATACCATAACCACAATTATAATAATTAATTCTTGTACCTTGCATTGTTCTAAATGGAACATAAAATATGTTAATGATTCACTAACTTTATTTTAGAAAAAAAATTTCCTTCTTACTCAGAAATCATCAAGTATTTTTAAAATTAGATTTTACGGATTAGGTATGTCCAATCTGCATCAAACTATAGCATTAATTGAAAAATACTTATTTTATTTTTTGCGGATTTGAACATGCATCCATTCCTGTGAAAAATTGTGAAAAAAATCTCATTTCAACATCAAAAAATTATAGAACGGGGGTATTATTATGAATTTTTTATAAATTAGAAGCTTTTCTGTTGAATTTCAGTAATCTTTTCATCCCAATACAAACCAGTTTGTGTGATTTGTTTTGGATTACAAAGTTAATATTTAAACCCAGTTACTTAATGAATCCGCTTTAGATTAGGTTTGTTTTTGAAATAAATATATGTGAATCATTTTGAAAATCCCTAAAAGAGTTTTTTTAATGTTTTTGCCTATTCTTTTGCCTCATCAGTGTTTTATTCATAGATGCAGTAAGAACACAAAAAAGTAAAAAAAAGAATGAGTTTAAAGTTGCATAATATCAATAAATAGAACAAAATAAAAAAAAATTTCATTTAAAATTTGGTTTATTTAGATTTGGACTTGTGAACAGTTTTGTAATAATTTGTTTGATGATTTAAATAAATGATTATTTTAACTGGAACTGTTCAATCTTTACAGGCAGATTGATAAAGATAACTAGAATATGTACATCCAACAGAGAGAACAGAAAATATAAATTGGAGAAATCTGAGGGAAAGAATGAAGTTAGAGGCTTTTATTATAGCAGAAAAGAAAAAAGCAACTGTAAAGAGTTGACCACTATGTTTGAAAAATCTGACATCAAAAAACATTTCAGCCCAAAGAGCAAAGCTTACAACTTCTTAGTTAAGAAATGGAAGAACGCTTCGTGCAAAGAGAACAAGAAATACCCAGGCCTGGATCCGGACGAGATTCCCGACGACGAGGAAGGGCCGGACGATGGAGATGAACTTTCGGGAGATGGGATTGGTTCCTTGAGTTAATAAATAGCCCATCCTGACATGTCTATTGAAATTAATTAAATCGCACTTTGGAATGTTTATTTCTAACGTTCATTATTAGTTTAATTAGTGGGAATGAAGCAATGCATTTAAATTAAAAAATTATTTTTCTCAGAAAAAGTTTGGTGTCAATTATTATTAAATGAATATTGGAGAAAAAAAATTATGTTATAACTGGAGTTCGTTTAATCCCAGTAAAAATAGCGACACAAAATAACTTTTAAACTATCGCAGTACAATAACGCTTTGAACACTGAGTCAATTATCAAATAACACTTTCGACACTAACAATCGCTATTCGTTAGCCAACACGTCTTTATATACCAGTCTTACCGACGCTTCTCCAACGTCCTAGATATCTCGCAGTCAGAAGGTTCCAGCCACTTCTCGAAATGTATGCGTCAGTATCATAGATGTCTCGATGTAATAGCCTCTTAATAGGCTATTACATCGAGACATATATGGTTCGTAGCGACACTTTGTTTAAGCCTTCAATTTCTGTTTTCAGTTTATTAGGGGGATAACGAAAAGATACAACTGAAATATATTGACAATTATTAACCATATCATAAAATATATTTTTTATGATATCCAGAAGTTCATCCAGAAGAATTGGCATGCAATGTCACGTCTTATGTCCTGATAGTTACAAAAAGCCGGACAAAACAATTAAAAAAGTGCTTAGAGGCAAAGAAGGCATAGGGTTAAAGGGTTAAATGACAATTGCGAAATCATTGAAAAGATCAAAAGACAGTAATACAAATGCAATGTATAAAAACATCAAAGAAATCACTGGGGAAAAAAGCTTGTACCATTTCGGGATGCATAAAAGCAAAATCCGGTAAAGTAATCATAAAGAAAAAGTACTTGAAAGACGGACTGAATACATTAGTGATCTTTTTGATGATATAAGGTGGTAAAAAGCTTCCTATTAAAAGTCTAAGAACCAAAGATACTTAGATCTGAAGTTCGTACCGTTCTTACCAAAATGAAATCAAATAAAACGACAGGTCCAGATGAGATAGTTGTTGAGAAAGTTAAATGCCTTGATGAATTCGGCATTGAAAAAGTGACAGAAATTTTGAATGAGATTTATAACAGCGGCGAAATTCTTGAAGATCTATTCAAGTCAATATTTATTGCATTGCCTATAAAATCTGATGCAACGGAATGTGAACTACATCGAACAATCAGCTCTTACAAAACTTCTCTTGAGAATTCTGATGATGAGACCACACCGCGTTCTTCCTTTTATGACCTTTACATGCAAACACGACATAACGCAACACGCACACATCATGTTCAAAAAGAAGATATCGTCGTTCTCATTAACTTCGTGACGCCACAATCAACAAAATGACACTTTTATCTGACGTCAACATCCTGACGTCATAATTTAATTATAATTTTAACCAGAAATCACCAAGCGACAGATGGGCTAACTTATTGGTCACGAGTGTTCTTTCGTATCCTTTTTAACTTTAATTTGGGAAAAAAATACAGAGAAACATACACGTTTCTTTATAAAACTTTATTTACGCTAACAAATAAACATATTTTAGCATATATGTTAATATGTTTCAGTTAGTTGCACACACCATGACTATAGTAGATACAAAGGAGAAATTCACATTGAACATTAGAATCAGTAATAAAATAATTAAAAATAGAAAATTTATTTAAGGTAAAAAAGTTTAAATTTATAAAAAAAAGTTTAATTTGTTAAAAGATGGACATACTAAAAGTTCAGAAAATTAATTTGATCGACTTTAACAAGGTGGAAATGGGGCAAATGCTGAAAATAAAAATAATAACAATAATGAAACACTTATAATTAAACATTAATAAATTGTGTGTGTGTGTGTGTGTTTATTTCTGTTTTTGAAAAGTTATCATATATAAGGATGTTGTAATAACATTTTATTTCATTTAGATACGGGCATATGTTCTTCGCGCCCATTATTTAATGTTTATATAACATCATATCATCCCAACAAACCAGACGCCACTGAAAAAGCTAAATATATTTATATAAACAAAATATCTTTTTCTGCTGTAGGCATTACCCAAAATAAATGCAGGCTTACATACAATGAATGATAAATACGCCTGTATGTTTGTTGTATGTATGTATGTACGTATGTATGTATGTTGATAAATGTGTATGCATGTATGTTTACGTTATGGATAATTAACACTTATATAAGATATCAACATGTTTAAATTTATAATAGCATATATATATATATATATATATATATATATATATATATAGAGAGAGAGAGAGAGAGAGAGAGAGAAAGAGAGAGAGAGAGAGAGAGAGAGAAAGAGAGAAAGAGAGAAAGTGAAACTGTCAATAACCCAAAAATTATTCACACAAGCAAATATATATTAAGATATACAAAGATATAAAAATATAATAATATTTATAATATTATAATTATAATATTTATATTATAATATTTGACTTGTCAACTCTTATTATCTACTATACAAAAACCACAAGCCTTTCATATAATAATGACAAGCAAACCACTACCAGACATAGTTAAGATAAAAATGAATGAATGATGAATGAATAAATGAATAACTGACTGAATGAATAAATGAATGAATGTATGAATAAACAAAAATGAAATTAATTTAAAAAAAAAATAGACAAACATAAACAGAATAAATCTTAAAACAAAACCAAAGCATGCACAACGTAGATATCGAAAATATAAAAATAAATATTATTTCCACATCTCTCGAATTCAGACATTATTCTTTGGCCGACTTTGAACATAGACAAAAATGACGAGAAGTAGGAAGAGGACTCCGAGTGTAGGCAGTACAATGGTGAACAGTCTATCCTTTTGTTTCTTGAAGTCTTCTTTTCGCTCTCTCTTCTCTTTATTGTTTTCTTTTACTTTGCCTTTTAGTTGTCTCATTTTTTTCTTTATTTATGAATGAGTTCTTTTCAGATGAAGATGAAAATTCTGGTCTAGGAATTCTATTTTAGACCTACTCTGTGGTCATTGGTTGATTTCGATGGAGAACTTTGATCTTCTTAATCTTAATCGATGTTTAGCTGAAAAAAAAGAAATAAAATAAGAAAATTTATTCTTCTATAATCAATTCTATATCATTATTTATTATTTTTATTTATTCCATGATAGGTAGATTTTGACATGTGGTTTTTAAATAACTTTTTATTTTATTTCAGTAGACAATACAAATTATTAATATTAAGTATATTATTAAATATTTTAATTGTAATTATTTGATTTTACATTATGATTATTTATTTTTTAATAAATATCATAGTATCATACAAAGACAAAACATTGAATAACATTATGGCTATGCTACTGGATACGGTATAAAAACAAGATACCAACGCAATAAAATTATAATAATAAAATATAATAATATAATATATATATAATAATGATAATAAATAAAATAATAAAATGATTTAATAAAACGAAACAAAATTAAAAGAACAAAAGGCCAGCCAAGTAAGCAAGGCAAGTAAGAAGGGTAAGTCGCCGAGAATTCAGACATTTTGATTTACACGAATTCATAAATTGATAAATAAAAAAAAACGGAAAACTAAAACAAAAATAACGTACCCCAATCCCTAAGTTCCTAATCCGTGAAAGAAATTAGATTTTTTAACGGCCGCAAAATCGCCTACGTGTAAATGTATATTTACATGGAGAATTAATCATACAGCGTTTCATAAATGACAAAATATTCATTTAAAACACCTAAATAATATCATAATTAAACTTAATTATATATAATTAAATTAAATTTAAATATATATAATTAAATTTAACTTTCTACTTTATTCTATATATGTTTAAAAAAATTATGAAGTGTAGTAGTTTGTCAAATAACATTTTCATCCAAATATTAACAAGACAAATCTATTAGAAACATTTTTTTATACAAAACTCTTACAGAATCACGTTAATTCGACATTTTAGCAGTTATGTCATACTTCAAAAAGTCAGAAAAATAAATAGGTTAACCTATTTATTAAGCAAATTGACATAAAAATGTCATTAAAAAAATATGATGTCTAGATTATCATCCATTAAAAATGGTCAAAAAACCATGGAATGTCTTAAAATACACAAATGAGCATAAACTTAAAAAATAAGTGACATATGTATCAAATAAAAACTTTGAATTCCTAAATCATGAAGTCATAAAGGGTATCAAACTACTACATAATAACATCGGTATATTATACATAAACGCTAACATTGGAAATCCACTCAAAAGATGGCACACGCACACACACACACACACACACACACACACACACACACACACACACACACACACACGGTTAAATATTATCTGGCACTGGAGAAGTTTTAGTCGATCCACCAACTTGTGTCAAATAAAACTTGGTCTTCGTCTGGTTGGGGTTGTTGTGACGATTGTTGTGGTCGTTGTTGTGGTTGTTGTAGCGATTGTTGCTCTGCTTGCGGTAATTGTTGTGGCGATTGTTTTGGCGATTGTTGTGGTTGTTGTGGCGATTGTTGTGGCAATTGTTGTGGCGATTGTTGTGGCGATTGTTTTAGTTGTTGTGGCAATTGTTTCGGTAGTTGTGGCAATTGTTGTGGTTGTTGGGGCAATTGTTGTGGTTGTTGTGGCGATTGTTGTGGCAATTGTTGTGGTTGTTGTGGCAATTGTTGTGGTTTTTGTGGCGATTGTTGTGGTTGTTGTGGTTGTGATTGTTGCCATTCTAAACTTTGCAGTTGAGAACCATTGGGCGGCAGAGGAATTGGACAAAAAATTTCGTGTTGAGGATATATCGTTCGAAGTAATCTGTTTATACTCGGAATTTTATCCGCAATATATGGTATTTCACCAGCGCGACATATATATCCAAACTCCAAAGACCTAGAACCTTCAATATATCCGTAGATGTTTCCGTCTCCATCCGCATACATATCATCACAACCAATAACTTTGTACAATTTCCCGTTTGGACTTCCTTGTAAAAACTCGACCGCTATTTGAAAATCGCGACATCGCAATAATTGCGAATTTTGAATCGGCACAAATTGGTTTTCACGTGAATACTGTTCGTATTTATACGCAGTCGTTTCTATAAAATTGTCAAAAGTTGTGTTCTCAAGCTGTTCCTCTTGGTACTCTTCCAAATGTATTGGTACGAGATCTTGTCCAAGCTGTTCCTCTTGATACTCTTCCAAATGTATTGGTATGAGATCTTGTCCAAGCTGTTCCTCTTGGTACTCTTCCAAATGTATTGGTATGAGATCTTGTCCAAGCTGTTCCTCTTGGTACTCTTCCAAATGTATTGGTATGAGATCTTGGCCAAGCTGTTTCTCTTGGTACTCTTCCAAATGTATTGGTACGAGATCTTGGCCAAGCTGTTCCTCTTGGTAGTCTTCCAAATGTATTGGTATGAGATCTTGGCCAAGCTGTTTCTCTTGGTACTCTTCCAAATGTATTGGTACGAGATCTTGGCCAAGCTGTTCCTCTTGGTAGTCTTCCAAATGTATTGGTATGAGATCTTGGCCAAGCTCTTCCTCTTGGTACTCTTCCAAATGTATTGGTTTGAGATATCGGCTAAGCTCTTCCTCTGTAGCTTCGCTTTCGCTACTTGATTTTTCTTCAGGTGATGGTTGAAGTTGTTGGTGTTGTTGGAAGTGATGCTGGTAAGGTTGAGGATGGGAAAGATTTAGTGTAGAATGAGGATGATAGGTGAAGGGCTGGTCTGGGTAGGCTAGCTGTTGATGAGGAATATAGGGGTGAAATTGCTGGTAGAAAGGTTGCTGTGAATAATGAGGATAATTGTAAGATTGCTGGTGATAAAATTGTGGCAGAGGCGGATGGTGGTAAGGTTGTGGTAAAAGTTGGAAATAATGGCAAAAAGGTTGTTGAAGACAAGATTGTTGTTGGCTATGTCTAGATTGGGAAATTATTTGCTGTTCGGGGAATAACGGAAGTTGTTGAGATGGCCACAGCATATAGCGATAGCGAGTAGTACCTATACCCGCAAATCTTTGAGAGCTTAGGCAAAGAGATCCAGACGTTTGTTGTATTACTTGGAGTTGTTGGTTTTGTGGATGCTGTTGGTGATGTTGTAGTTGTTGTTGTTGTTGGTGGTGTTGTTGTTGGTGTTCTTGTTGTTGTGGTTGGTGTTCTTGTTGTTGTTGGTGGTGTTCTTGTTGTTGTTGGTGGTGTTCTTGTTGTTGTGGTTGGTGTTCTTGTTGTTGTTGGTGGTGTTCTTGTTGTTGTGGTTGGTGTTCTTGTTGTTGTTGGTGGTGGTGTTGTTGTTGTGGATTTTTCACTGTTTGCGAATTGTACAATGATGTCCATGAAATATCGCTGCTTACTGGTCTGTTTGATAGAGACTGTTGTACTGGCACGAGGTCTGCGATGTTGCAGACAGCTCGAATTGATGATTGGGAGAGAGAAATCTGTTGCAGCTGATTCGATAGTCCCTCAACAACAGTCTCATTCTTTTGACACTGTTGTTGAAGTATTTGTGGTTGTGGTGGTTGGCCAAGAGACGGTTGAGTTGACGGAAGATAAGTTTGACTGATTTTTGAATGGGGTTGAGGATGCTGTGTAAATTGCAATATGTTTTGTAAAGGAGTTTGATTCTGCTTCTCTGGTTGACTTTGTATTTGATATTGAGGGTGTTGTTTTTGAGTCTTAAACTGCTGCGTCTGGCCAAAAGACGGTTGAGTTGACGGACGATAGGTTTGATTTGTTATTGAATGAGAGTAAGGAGGCTGTGTTAACTGAGTTTGATCACTAGACGATTGAGGCTCTGGTGACAGTGTTAACCCTATGCTTCGAAGAATTTCTTCTTGAAATGTTAGACCGCGATCGACTGGTGGTGTACGACTTAGCGATTCGGAGTTAATTTCTCCTGGTTTTTTCATTGGTTGGGAAAGTGCAAAAGAATGTCTTAAAGTTTCTAGCTGCGATGTAGAATGATGAAGTTGAATTTTTTTGGTCTGTGGTTTTAAAGTGTGACCAATTGGTAGACAATATAAACTACCCGATATGTCTCGATTTAACACCTGTGGCTGCTGGTGTTGCCGCTGTTGAAGTGCCGATTGTGACTGCTTTTCTCTTGGTTCGTTTTGTTGTTTTGGTTCTTTTTTACGACATTGATCATCTTGTTTAGGCTGTTGGTGTTGTTTTCGTTCGTTTTCATCTGGTTTATTTTTATCGCCCTTTTGATGTTGCTCTTGTTGCCGAGGGTTATGCTGATCGTCTCGTGGGTTTTGTGAGTCTTGCTCTCTTTCTGAATAATGTTGATCCTCGGGTTTTTTTGCAGTGGATATATTATTTCTGTTTGAAACTGACCTTGCATAATTTTTTGCGAAAATTCTTTCGTATTTACCAGTCCGCTATCTGATGTCGTTGGCTTGCCATATAAATTTCGCGATGAAGAACAAGATGTTTTTTTTAAATTATCCAAAATTTTTGAACGTTTTTGAAACTCACAGAGTAATTGTGCTTGCTGTTGTTTCTTAATTCTTCTTTTTGTTGCTGGATCTTTTTGTCGTTCCAACTCTTCATTAAATGAATAATGGTCAGATTGCGTGTTCATGGACCCTAGTTGTTTGTCCAGTGAGATCCGGTCTGCTAGAAGGTCTCTGTTCTCTTCTGTCTGCTGTTTCTTTTGCGATTTTTCACCGAATGCCCGTTCACTGCCTGGCGTGAGGTTTGTACGCAGTACCTCCCACAGTGGTCGGCTACTGCCTCCTAGCGGCGTCCGATCTGATTTCGGCTTTTCCCAAAAGGTCAGCCTGCTTTGCGGCCCGTCCCCCTGTATGAAGTATAAAATATCATAGTGTTAGTTAACGATGTTGGCAATCAAATGACAAACATACACGTACCAATAAGGGTGGCCGTTGGAGAGAGTTTTGTGGTTGGGCCACGTTTTGATATGTACTATGCCTACTTGTTCGGAATGGATCAAACGATTGTATCGTTGCTGTTGTGGTTTCTATTCTTCTGGGTGAATAATTTTCTAAAAGTTTAGATGGATGTTGGATATAAAATGCTTTAGACTGTGGTGTGTTTTTTTGATTCTGAAAAGATTTATCTTGTTGCGATTGTTTAAATTTGTTTAAAGATGCTTCATTTTCACTCCTAAAGATCGCAGAAGCTGACCACGAATTGTTATCGTCATCTTTGTCTGACTTTGAAGAAGCTGGCGACGATTCAAATGTTGTTAATCTTTTTTGAGGAATTTTTATTCCCGTTACTGATGAATTTGTTGGCATTTCTTGCATGCATGTATCTAAAGTTCTATTTTGATTTGAAAGCCATCTTGGCTGTTGACTCATCGATAAATTGTTATCTTCATCTTCACTCTTTTCTTGCCTCCATCCATTATCATCCCATTCAGGGAATAACTCTTTTGACATTCAAAATTTTAAACTTCTTACCAACCTATTATAAGTTAATTTATAGTACAAAAAATTTTAAACTATGGTTTTATTAAACAAATTCTAATGTTTCGAACGTGAACATGATAAACTAGTTACTGACTAGTTATTTAAAACTAGAAATTTAAGACTAAATCGTTATGAAGTTTGAGAGCTGTTTAAAAATCATCTGTTTCAAAATCATTTTTTCATCTGTTTAAAAATCGGATAAACCTTTGAAGTGCATAGATTCTTAGATTTAAACATACAGTTATATTCAATCAAATTTTTTATCAAAAAATCCAATCGATGCTAGATGAATGCATAATCACGCTTAACATTATTGTACCATTTGAAAAACATTAAATAATTTTTTTTTCTTTTTTAAAGAGTTTGATTGGAAAGATCATTAGAGAATCCAAAATGTTGAAATACCCAGCAGTATTCAATTTCGGATGTGAATTATGAATTATAGTAACGAATTTAAATGATGATGTGAATTATAAGATGTTAGTGTGATTTTTAAATGAAACCAAATTATTTTACTCACCAATGAAAAATGAATTATACTTAAAATCCACTACTGACGTTATCAAATAAAAAAAAAACGTTTAATTTATTTCAGAGCTGGGTTAATATTTTTCACAAAATAATCTTAAAAATGAATTTAAAATATAAGTTAATAAGTTATAAAATTAAAAAATCAAGTTTAAAAATTTCTTGAAAGAAAGAAAAAAGAAGCGGTATACATAACGCAGGATTGTTACTCAATACACATGTGCTTACAACATTAACATTAATTTCAAACTTAATGGTGAATTTCGTAACCATATTTTGTTGTATAGTACCTCAAATTCAAATCAGGTATTTGTTCTTTTCTAGCTTTAATTGTACACCAAAAGAAAATATTGGTTAGTGCGTTCGTAAACAAGTGTACATATGCATATAAGGGCAAAAATTAGTACATGCAAGTGACAAAAAATTATTGATCGATAGATACGGCAGAAATTTATTATTAAATTTAAATTTAAATTATTTTCAATTATTCAATAAAAATTTGTCTTTGACGATGATGTTGATGATGAAGAGGAGGATAAAATTAAACAAAACCGGAAACGGACGATGATGACGTCAGCGACATACGTAATTGATACAAAGGAAATGCAAACATTCACCGACCACCACCATCTGTTCGGCACACAAAATGTCATCCCAACTGTAGAGTGTCAGTCGAACAGTCAACGAGCTGATTCTTCCAACACCACTATCACCATACGTAAATCATCATGAGACCACCATATGAAACGAGCTGACGTCCACCACTGCCCACCCCTGCCCACCCCTGCCCACCCCTCATCATTCTGTAGACAAAATTTTTTTATTAGCGTAGTTGTAAATGAATGTTCGAACGAAGGAACAGACGAATAAATGTGTGTGTTTGTGTGTGTGTGTGGTGTGTGTTGTTGAAACTTCTGTAGAAGAAAAAAAATCAGTTTCATTAATTTATGTAATTAGAAAAAGTGTTTTGTTGCTGTCGAGTTTTACGAACTTTAACATTATTTAAAAATTTATTAAATGTTAGAGACTACTAAAAACTGTTTTTTGATTTGTGTTTCATTGCTTTTCAAGTTAAACAGGGCTGAAAATATAAATTTTTTAACAATCGTGGTTTGTTGATATTTTTTAAAAGTAAAATACAAATAATGTAACTAAACCGTTTGAAATCTGCAAATACTACTAAGTTACTAACAGAAACACTAATAAGTAAAATTATTTAATGAAGTATTATCTCAAAAATTTACATTAGAAAACATAGTTTGAAAGATAAAAAAACAGTTTCCACAGTTTAAAATTTCATTTTTGTATTTTGTTAGTGGCTTTGTTTGCCCTGGAAGATAAAATAATAAAATTATATAAGGGCATCTACTTTTTGTTGCTCCAGAAGGCCCTCCCACCTGTAAATCCGGCCTGAAAAAGATTCATTCCGGATTTGCTCCCACTAACCACCCATGCGTCTAGTTGGTTAGTAATACTATCAGCAGTAGCAGTGTTCGTGACGACTTCGGTCCGTGTAACAAAAACTACCGCGTGATATCGATTTTGCCAAAAAAAAAAAAATTTTCTAAACTTTTGTTTCCATTTACAACGAAAATTTTGTGTATAACTCGACTAGTAAAACTCGTTTGTTGGGTTCGTATCAATTTATCAAGTTTTTAATCGTTGGCGAGTAATTTCGCAGTCAATTAATTGTTTTCTAAATGTCATTTGTTTGGAATTTGAATGCATTTTAGTGTAAAAAAAATATAAAAATAAAATAATAATTACAGAAACGCAAACCTCCAAGACCACACACACACACACACACACACACACACACCACACACACACACACACACACACACATACACACACACTTCACACAAACTGCCGATTCAAAACATAAAATGACATTTCTTTCATTACACATCATACCTGCATTTAACAGACTTGCATTGTCTCACATCACTTTAGAACATTCCAAAAAATTTTCATGTAGTATAACTACTGGTGCTTAAAATTTAGCTAAAATGTTAATTTTTTTTAGGTTGGGTCTGTTTAAGTGTTTAGTCGTCTCGGTGGAAAACAAAATACAATTGTACTCTGTTAATATATGCAAGATTTTTTGATCCGGTAGCATGTAAACCTTTAATTCAACAGAATTAGTTATCTTTGCTCTTAAGTAAACATTTTCGCAAGCGTAGAATAAATTCTTAAAACACAGGAGGGCAAAACAAGAAAACCTTTATCTCTCATTGTCATGCCAAAAACTCAACAATCCAATCATTTCTCAATGGCTTTACCTCTACTTGCAACAATATTTTGTGGTTCAGTTGACGGGAATCAGCTAATGATTAAAATGACATACTCTAGGGCTTACAGTTTTGTTATCATTCCAAACACCAAAACCGCAATTTGCTACAACGACTCCATGGACATTCTCATCAGACTGAAGGCTGCGTCTAAACTCAGTTGTCTCAAGAAATGTCAGGTCAGATGAGATGAAATATATTTTGATTTGTTTCATATTTAGACTTGAAACATGATTTTAAAATTAAAAATTACTTTTAAAAATCATTTGAGGATGCAATTGGGATGAACTTGAGAGGATTCAACTACAAGAAGTCAGTGGAATCATGTTCGTGCGTGCCAAAGCTGGATGTCCTGTACAACCTGACCACTGATCTGGGTGGCGAATGTCTGGCTTATGTGACTCAAAGTAACTCAACTTTTCTTACAATTTTTTTAAAGATTAATTGACTTTATTTTACAAATTTTCAGTAAAACTATATCAGTAGCATAGTCTGTCCTAAGTTAGCAAACTAGTATCTGTGGCACGCCACAGATATTACTATGTGGTGTTTGCGTCAGCGTTGAAATTTGCATGAGGTATGCTTCGTGTGGTGAGAATGTTTGGTGTGGATGTGTGGTGTGTATGTGTGATGTGTATGTGTGGTGTGTATTTGTGGTGTGTATGTGTGGTGTGTATGTGTGGTGTGTATGTGTGGTGTGTATGTTTGGTGTGTATTTGTGGTGTGTATGTGTGGTGTGTATGTGTGGTGTGTATTTGTGGTGTGTATGTGTGGTGTGTATGTGTGGTGTGTAATTGTGGTGTGTATGTGTGGTGTGGTGTGTATGTGTGTATGTTACAGCCTTTGCGACAAAAAAAATTTATCTACATGTTTAGAATGACATGTTTGTCACAGCTGCATGATAAAACAAAGAAAACTAATTTTTCTACCAAAGATTGCCCACCAAAATTTGACTACGTTATAGAGAACCACAAATGTTACAAGTTACAAAAGGTAATGATCACTTGGTCTGGTGCCAGAACGCGTTGCAACAACTTTGTCTCATCTCACCCCATCGTTATGGAGCAGTTCAATGAGATGACCGCTGCCCGCTGGTACTCCGTGTCCGTCTTTCCGTGTTAGTCATCGACAAAAACTGCTTTCCAAATTTGTTTCCTTGTTGGTTTTTGCCAGATTTGAAAGTTAAATATAAAATTTTTATTATTCAAGTATTTCTGTCTTGGATAACGCTACAGTCTTAAAGGTTAAAAGCATCAGATTTGTACTGTAGAGTAATATGCGAACCTTTTTTTCTTCCTCCCTCTCTGGCTTACAAAGTTCAGAGCGGATTTCGAGATAAAAAAAATTCATTAAGGAGCGCTCTTGAACATCGCTGAAACAGCGCTTTAAAAATGATTGATTAATTAATTGGTTAATTAATTGGCTAATTTAACGAAATCACGCAGTCGATCCAGCCAAAGATACGGCAAGCCTTTGGACGGCTGGTTATAGAACGTACATCAATGATCTTGCTACTCCGTTTTTGTGGGAGCCATATCCAAGTTGGAATGTTTTATACGATTCTCCGCACGTGCATTCCTTTCCATTTGAACTCGGTCACTACGACAGCAGTGCCAGGCACCTTGAACATTATACCACCGCGCCGCCAAATGTTATCACGGGTAACACACGGGCTAAAAGAATATTTTTAAAATTTATATAAATTTGAAGAAAGAAATGATTCAAACAAATTTGCTAAATTTTTTCAGATCAAAAAAAAACTTTAAAATAATCTCAGATCAAAACACGTCAATAAAAAATTTCCTCTGGAGGTCCAACAACCCAAACCAGCTACAAAACGACAACACCAGCTATTGCATCGTGTATAAACTGAGCTGGGATATCGGCTTTGATGACGTTAGATGCGATAGTTTATGGTACTTTCTGTGTGAGGTTGATATAGATTGGTAGGATGGTTAATTTGTTGGCTGGTTTGGTAGATGGTTGGTTTAGTAGATAGTTGGTTTAGTAGATAGTTGTTTGATTATTGGTTGATTGTTTGGTTGGTTGGTTGATTGAATGATTGTTTGGTTGGTTGATTGAATTATTGGTTAATTAAATAAATGATTAATTGGTTGATTGATAAATTGAAGATTTTGTCTGTTTATTGATATTCGGGCAGAGTCATGCCTTATTAGTAACTTTATTGATAAGTTTTTGATTGTCAATTTGGTTGATGAACTGATTGATTCGTGAATATGATGGAAACTATTACGATAAATTCGGCTTCTGTTATGACAATGATGACATCAAACATTTTGAAAAATTTCTTTGTGAAATAGAAAATTATTTACGTATGCTTCTAACGTACTATTTATTAACACATAGTCGAGATTTATTACGCTCCAGTTAATACCGCTAAAACATTCAATATTCACAAATTTTTTTATTGCATTTGTTATAAGCGGAGTGTCCTAGTCAGTTGAAAACATTTCAAACTCCAAAACTTTCAATGAAATTTTCTGATTTTGAGTAAAAAATTCCGACCCCAACTGACTCCGTCTCTCTGATTGTTCGAATCTTTAAAAATATCATAAATAAATTTTTATTTTAAATGTTTATATTATAACTCTAGAACAATTTTCTTATTTGATGTTGTGATTTTAACTTTCGTATACAATGTTTCTTGTTGATTTTTTCTAAATAAAATCTAGAAAAAGTTGTCAAACATTGATTAAATGAAAAATAAATAACAAACATGATGTTATATTTACAATTTATATTTTTGTCTTTGTTTTTAAATTTAAATAAAAAAATTCTCATCAGAAATTCGTTATAAAGTTATTTATGAATTTTTAATTTCCCGCATGAACCTGTTTAGCATTTTAAATCACTGAGAATCGAAGTCAGGCATGACATTTTTTGGTCCTCATCTTTTATTCATCATCATTGTTGAATTTTCCATTTTTTTTTTCGTATTTAGTAAATTGCAATCCGTGCATTTGAAATGAAGGCGTTTAGACATTATCATTATAAACATAATACCTAGACACACAGACACACAGACACTTTCTCTCTCTCTCTCTCTCTCTCTCTCTCTCTCTCTCTCTCTCTCTCATACACACACACAAACACTAACACACACATTTACTTATATCTATTATATATATTATAATATTATATAATTATTTAATACATTTTTTATGCCTCTATAACAAAAAACAAAAAAATATAAATATATATATATATATATAAATATTTATAATATATATATTAATAATATATATATTAATTTATATATATATATATATATATACATACATACATGGTGCAACTTTACATATCCATAAGACCAAATTCCTGTTCAACTCTTGTAGTGGTGCCGAGTTGATATTTTTAAATTTATTAATAAATTTGCGAAATAAATCTGAAAAATTACATCAAAAATTGAATTCATTTATTTATCTTTTTATCTAATTTACTGTAAAAAAAATTGTTTCATTTATTTAAAGAGAAAATATAATTTAATCTAAATTTAAACCAAAATGACGATGAAACCTTCACGCGGTACTGTCTGGCATAAGTTACACAAGAACATTATCACTATAATCGTGATAAGCATGACAATTTTAATCGCCAGCGGCTTACAAATTTCCTCAAAAACCACTGAACAAGCAATCTACAAAAGAGCATACAGTTACTTGCTTGTTAATCTCCAAAAGACAGTAGCCTGCTTCGACGAAGTTGCTACGAAGTTTTTCAACAAGTTTAAAACTGCCTCTGCAACTGAGTGCGTTATTAAATGCCGAGTATGCTACGTTTTGTTTATACAGTATTTTTTTCAAGTTTTTAAAGAATAATTTAATTAATTAATTGATATGTTTGCTTGGATATAATTAATTAAACGATTTAATTGATAAATCGTATTATTAATAAATAAAAATATATATTTTTTTTAAAATTTAGATAGCTGCCAGCAACAATTTAAGGGGAGTCAACTTTATAAAATCAGCAAAGTCATGTTCTTGTGTTCCCACAATTCCAGATACATGGTATAATGTCACGTTCGATTCAACTAGAGACTGTATGTCTTTTGTCACACATGGTTTGTTCCTCAGATTTTGAATGAGAAATAGAGTCGCGCTATGGTGTAGGTTGAAGTACTTGGCATTGATGTTGCGTTCACTGGGTTTGAATGCCATGAGATCCCTTTCCATGTATATCGCATGCAATACGTGTGATGCGTTGTTTTACTTTTATTTACATACGCTAAATATTTCTTTTTAAACATACTAAAAACAGGATTTTAATAAATAAATTTAAAAATATTAACTGTTCATATATATGAAAGATTAATTTAAAAAAACTACAAAGATTGCCCGAAGAATTTCGACTACGTTATGGAAAACCACGTCTGTTTCAATCTGCAAAGAAGTAGAAATGTATTTTTGAAGTCAAGAGAGGCCTGCAACAATCTTTCGTCATCTCATCAGGTTGTCATTGAAAGTTCGAACAAAAATTTGGCCATCAGACTGTATGCAGTGTCCCGCGAAATTAGTCAGTTGAGGATTTTTTTATATTAATTTTTTTATAAATCTCAATAATGTTAAATCATCTAGAATGTGATTTTAAACAGTTTCATCGTTAAATTGTTAAATTTAAAACTGGTTAATATATGTTACAATTTAACGAAAAATTAACAATGTCAAAAAAAATTCCAATTTAGATTCGCTATTAGTTTTATTCAGTTTTGTCGAGTTTTGTTGAGGATTGTGGCACAAAAAACGCTTTCTTCATGCTACGAATGATCGGTGAACAAGCGATTGAAATGAAAAAAGTCTTCTTTTGTTTATATGTTGTTTTTTTTCGATTACTCCAAAGCTTTTCATAGCGTGAAACAAGTGGAGCCTATGGAATGATTGGAGAATTTGGACATTGATGGAAAAGACACGAGAGTTATCAAAAATCTCTATTAGGACGAAAGAGCAGCGATGAAAGTTGGTAACAAGATGACAAGTTTTATCGATATAAAGAAAGGTATTAGGCAAGGCTGTGTATTCTCTCCAGACCTGTACAATCTCTATGGTGAAACCATCATGGGAAAGACAGAAGATCTACCCGAAATATCTATCCATTGGAGACGTGAATATAAACAATGTAAGATAGGCTGATGATACAGCTCTTACAACAGATTCAATTGGAAACTTGTTTTTAAAATTTTCCAAACTTTTTTTGAAAGTAAAAGAAAAAACTTGCAAATTATTATCATCAAAACAAAGTTCATGGTTATCAGTAAAAGCAAAACCGCCCCGAAATGCTCCATAATCATTAATGCTAAACATGTGAAACAAGTCAACAGCTTCTACTATCTCGAAAGTCTGATTACCTCAGGTTGTAAATGTGACATGGATATCAAAAGAAGGATAGCTATGGCGAAAGATGCTTATTCCAAAATGAAAAACATCCTCACCAACAGTAAAATCAAAATATCAACCAAATTAAAACAGTTAGGATGTGGGTCCTTGACAATTTCTAAAAAAAAATAGAAAAAAAAGATTAACGCTGCTGAGATGTGGTTTTTGAGATGAATTAGCAAATCAGCAGATAACATATGCAAGCTGGATTTAAGATAGGACAGTTAGGGCTGGTGGCTTCCATAAAAATCTGGCCTTCACAAAGGAAGGATAATGTAAAACTGATTCAACTACTAAAAAGCTGGCTTTTAATAATGGAGCTGAGCAAGAAAGATCGCTAACTTTCATTTTTGTTTCAATATAACTAGTCAAATTCAAAATAACTACAATAATTCTCTACTAATCAATTAAAGTGTTCTCTGGAATGATTAGATATTCCCATTGTAGGATGGGTAGAAATATAATGTTGATTTTTCGGTAAAACTGGTCATTAATAATAAACGTCTGTTGTTTTAAAGTTGACGTTGCATGCTGTGAATAATTTATGTATGTGTGTTTGTTTGTGTGTGTGTGTGTGTGGTGTGTGTGCTGTTTGAAATCGATGAAACACGAATGAAATTTTTCAAAACCGCTACTAGCATGGCATTTTAAAAGCATTCCGAGTTTATTTGTATACTACATAACAAAACAACAACCAAAACGTGAATTTTAAATGTGTGCATATTCCAGAAACAAAAAAATATTTTCACTTTTATTGATTAAACATTTTTATTTAAAATTACTATTTGATAAAATATCAACGCATCAATCACATTCAATGTGATGGGTTGGGATCTCGTTGGGATTGAATCCGGTCAATGCTACAGTAGTGTCAGCACCTCTACCAGTACGCCATCGTGTCGTTAAACTTTACATTGAAATAATTTTATCCCACACCAAGTCCCTTCTCCGTGTGTCTCGGCACCTCATCTCAACAACACGTTCGTCATCTGGACCGCTGCCTTCAAATATTCGCAGATGGCACCATTCATGTGGCAACCCTATTCTTACTGTGAGTTATTTAAAATCAGTTTGTGAAATTTGAATTTCAATCTTTGAGGGCAGTTTTAAAGATTTATTCAACAGTAAAATTTCTTATAAATCGATTAATTTAAAATCAGATAACAAATTAATCAAAGTTGTTCCCGAAGCATCGACGATTAAGATACCTCGATAAAAAAAAAGTTAACGCTCCAACAACAGCTGCCCTGAAACCAGTGACCTTCACATATTGGAGGTCAGGGGAACCAAACATTGCCCCGACTGACTACTACCTTGGCATCATATACGGGCTGAACAGTTACCAGCTGGGGTGGGGCGATCGATTCTGTTACGAAGAGTTCTGCACCCTCTGTGAAATCGACCTTGACATTTGAGATTTTTTCGGTTGGATAGTTGCCAGCTAGGCTGGGGCTAGAAAAAGTTTGGCACTCTTTGTGGGGTGGGATTGACCTTGACTTTTTAGAGTTTTTTAGTTTTGTTAAGTTTTCATTGAAAAGATTACTAATAAATTCATTATCAAATATATTACTCACGTCAGTGGTCATTTAATTATTAAAATTATGTTTTTTTTACAATTTTTGACAGACGGACGAACTAACATTCTGTTTGACCTAAACCAACGCTCTAACGTCTTTAATTCAAATTTATAACATTCAAAAACACAATAGAACAAAATTAATGAAAATAATTAAATAAAAAAAGCATTTTAATGATGTCTTACAGTCGGATGAGTTTCGAATACTGCGTCTGCTTTTCCTTTGAATTCACTTATTTTGGATGGAATGATAATGAAATTTTTCACTGTCTGTCTACTCGGTCTGGAAGAGTAGTGTCATTTGGTTAGTTTAGGATTGGAAGAAGTTGTTTGAGTAAAGAATAAACAATCGTATTTTTTGTTTCGTCTGAAATTTCGAGTTGAACGGTTTATAAATTTTCTTGTTGGTTGTGATTTTGGTTGGCTATTCTTTAAAAAAAAGCAGAACATCATTCTATCAAATTAAGACATTTTTTAAAATAAACTGTTACAATTCAAACATTGCGTTTTTTCAAACAATCAAAATATTTTTTAAACTAAAAAATTACTTTATTCGTTTTGAATTATGGTAACACACTAAAGTTTAACTATTTTTGTCGCATATTTTTTGCGTAATTAAATAAATATAGAAAACAAATTTCAAAATCTCAAAAAATGCGTTAATGATACGTCATGGTTGCGTTACCTTTGCCTCTATATGAGGACGTTAAATAAACAAGTAAGCTATAAACAATACAATCACGAAATAATTGCTGTAAATAAAATACATTGAGAGAAACCTTGCTTGGCAACCAACAATTAATTGTATCTATACAAGTAATGATACACGAATGTAACCATAGATATAATGTTGAGATGATTTATTATTTGTATCTTTTTAAAACATTTTGTTTATAAAGAACGATTGTTCTATACAGGTATACTGAAATAGTATTTTTGAATATAGAAATATAAAAACATTTTGCATTACAAATTGTTAAAATATTACATAAATTTAAAAACAAAATTTAAATACTATTTCGATTATATTTATTTAAAAATATTGTAACTAATAAAATGATTAAGATTATTTTCCTTTTAACAATACTGGTACACTTAGAGTTAGCGAGAAGTGAGATTAACATTCAAAAATACACGAAAGCCCACAGCTACCTGACGGTGAAGAATCAAAAAACTTCAATTTGCTTTGACGATCAGATGAAAGTTTTGAAGAAATTGAGAGCTAAAACAGCATTGGACTGTCTCAGCAAGTGCCTGGTATGAGATTTTTATTTATAGCTAATGATATTTGACGATAAGATTTTAAAAAATAATCTAAAATAGGACGTAAATTTTTGCGTTAAGTTACTTTACAAGCCAATTTAGAATTTGAATTTTGCCATATTTAAGTAACAAAGAATTAAAAATTTCATTTTGTGACTGTTTTGCTGCAGTCAGCCACGAACAACAACTTGAGAGGCATCAACTACGTGGCATCTGTGGCATCTTGCTCCTGTGTTCCAAAAGTAACTGACGTCTGGTACAACGTCACCAACAGTTCCAATCTTCCAGGATGTGTGTCCTTCTTCACACACGGCAAGTTCTGCATCAAAAATTTTTTTTGTATAATAATTTTAAATGAATCGTTCCAACGTTGAAATTATTTTCAGAATGTCCCAGGAGTTTCGACTACGTGGTTGAGAACCACAAATGTTTCAGTCTGCAGACGAGTCTGAACACGTGGCACAACTCGAGGACTCTCTGCAACAACCTCCTCTCGTCCCACCCTGTCATCATTGAAAGTTCCACCGAGAATCGTGCCGTCCAGCTATACGCCATAGCAGTTAAGAAAGGTCATTTTCTAAAGTTAATTTGTTTGCATTCTTTCAACTGAAGTTAGCACACTTTTTAACATTTCACCAAACACACAACAATTCATAAAATCTTCAGAACAGATATTTTTAAAAACATAAACATATTCAACTCACCCATCGTTAGCAAATCACGCACACATACACACATACGCACGCACACAGATTCCGTACCATGCCTTCTGCCAGGGTATGCCGATACATTTTTCATCTGGACTGCCTCCTATATAACCTACAACAACAGCGTTCGCACGCCCTTCCTCTGGTCCCCACAACCAGGTTGTTGCTAGCTTTGTCTTGTTTGATTCGAAATTTTAGATTTCAACGGTTTTTCAAATTTTTTCAAACGCTTTTTCAAATTTTTTCAATGAGAATAACCACAAAGTTGAGCGTTCATGTACACGCGCAGACGATCATTACGAAGTTTTATTTAACAATGAAATCCCAAAAATTAGCAGCAAATTTTTGCTTGCTTCTTCTTCATTGTCATGCTGCTCAGACAATCGCAGATCTGCTTACAGACTATGATGGTTCAGCTTTGGTGCCACACCACACGACGTACATACACCTGTCTAAGAGTTTCTGACAGATTGCATTCAAACGTGGTCATTGCACAGACACATCCCTTGACATGGATGGCATTTCTACCGGACGAGCGACTTGAAATAAATCAGAAAATTTATTTTGTACAATCGTTTCAATCGTTCTTCGAGCAGGTCAATACAAGAGGATGGTGTATTACAGTTGGTTGAGTGGAGAGCCGAACACGCCAGCCGATGGTCCTGAGTGCTGCGTTAGCTACAGTCTGGATGTCAGTTTCTTTGGATGGGATGATGGCGATTGTACAACCACCCTCTGCACTGTTTGTCAGATTGATTTGATTTGATGCCCTAATAAGAATGAGTTTAAGTAGGGTAAGAGAAAAAGTATTTTGAAAAATGAAAATTTATTTGAACATATAAAATTGCGCCAACTTGGTATGTGTATGATATAATTTTATCTGTATTTCGCAATAATTTTTAGTTCATATGTTCGGATAGCACGCACCTTTTTGTGTAGAATATCTTTCCAATTAACTATCTTCAAATTAGGAACAAAGCGTTTGTAACGATTGTTCTTCTGAATGAGTAGGGAGCGGATGGCTTTGTTACCAATATTTCTCAGAGGCATTTATCGACCAACTGTGTATGTTGTAGACCGTACATTGCATGTTTGCAAGCATTACAAGACAATTGAGTTTAGAAACAATCACACGCAACGTCATTTGGATTGTATCACATTTTTATGGAAGTCTATTATGATAAAAATGAGTTTGATGCATTGAAGTTTGACTCTGTGTTCCATTTGTATAATTGATTTGCAACTATGAACGAAAAATTTATTTTAGTTTGTTGTCAAATTAAAACTTTATTGAAATATTCTAAACCATTTATTAAAATATAGTTCTATTTATCGAACTCATTTGCCAAGAGGTCCCAGCCTAACATATGCAATGAAATTGACGCCCTGTATGTATTTTTAGACGCGTCAACAATAAACACGCAGAGTATGTGAATGCGCGTGAAATAGCTCACCCCACACTGTTGTCTTATCAGCATAATGTATAATACCCCAAATTGTTTTATATAGAATCCTGTAATAAATATCCTTAACTATAAATGGAGAAAGAGATGAATAATAAGAAAGGTCTTGACTTTGTGGTTTCATCTCATGAACTATTCATAACTTCTTATCAATTGCACTAGTTTCTTTCGCAAGAGAACACGATTTAATGCAACGTAACAATATGACTCACCCAAAATATAACGATTTATTGAGTTGGAAAGGTTAGAAATATTTGTGGCGACATTTTGTGTTTTATTACATTCATTTTTTGCCAAATTTCGACGTAAAACTTTCTTTTATCTGCCTTTATCTCTGAAAAAACAATTTTTTCTCAATAAAAATTAACTGAAAAATGTGGCTAATTATATTAATTTCTGCAATAGTTGAAGCCATAGAGTGCCAAACAAGTGGAAGATTATACCACGAGGCTTGAGAGGCATCAACTACGTGGTGTCTGTGGCATCTTGCTCCTGTGTTCCGAAACTAACTGACATCTGGTACAATGGCACCACAACAAACAGTCAATGAGTTTCGGACAGACTGATTTTGAACCAGACCATGGCGTAACTGCACGAGACACGGCGCTTCTACCGACTGAGCTTACTCACCGATCATTGTTATTTCAGTTTGTTTCATTTTTTGGCATTTCATTTCAAGCCTAGGTGTCAACCTAACAATGAACTTCAAATCTTGGATCAATGGCGAACCTAACGATTTTCTGGGAACAAGCACGAGCTCTTTAGAAGACTGGCTTGTTAGGAAAATGTAAATGATAGCAGTTATTCCATACAATTTTCTTTTTTCATGCCAAGAACACAATTTTCGCCAAACTTTTTGCCAAGCCTATGTTACTTTCCAACTAACTTTTTATGTTGCTTTCTAATGAATTTTCATGGAAGTATTTTGTTAGTCAATGTTCTAAGAGAATTTATTTGATCAATAAAACAGTTACTGTTTTCAATAGATACAAAGTGAAAGTTTACTATTCATATAACTCAGCATACTGATTGCCATGCACTGCTCAGATAAGTATAAAAGTAACTGTTTATCAGAAGGCGCCATAATATGAGATGAAGTGAAAATGCCAGAATAATTTAAGTTTTCTATCTTTTGAAATAGTTTATAATATTGTTGTAATTTTTGATTTTTTATTCAGAAAAACGGTAAAATAAAATCGAGAATTCCATGTTTACATAGGCATGAATAGCAAAATATGCCATTCAAAATTCATGTAAGCAAAGATAAAGTAAGACTCGAAATTATTATGACATAAATTTAGCAGCTAAGTTCATGTACATGACAAGATAAAGTCTACAAAAATCGCTCTTGTGTCTTGCTCTTTAGTAATTGGCAAAATGTTTCAAGTTATATTAACATGCGTTATGGTTGGAGCCATAGAGTGCCAAACAAGTGGAAGATTATACCACAAGGCTTACAGCTATTTGGCTGTTGGTGGTTTGAAAGTGGGAGTTTGTTTTGACGAGATGATGGAAGATGTAATGAGATTGGAAGCGAGTTCATCGGTGGAGTGCATTGCTAAGTGTTCGGTGAGTAGTTTCGAATGCTAATCCGATACTTTGCTTAACAAAATTTAGTAAATTAAACTTTGTTAAACTTGAAATGAATATTAAATCGGTCAACAAATTTCGGTTGCATAGAATTGATCATTTTTGTTTTGCCATTACACAGTCTGCCACGAACAACAACTTGAGAGGCATCAACTACGTGGCATCTGTGGCATCTTGCTCCTGTGTTCCGAAACTAACTGACGTCTGGTGCAACGTCACCAACGGTTCCAAACTTCCTGGCTGTGTGGCTTTTTTCACGCACGGTATTCAAGTATAAAAAAATTAAATAAAAAAATAATTCTCTAAATTTATTCACTGCAATTTGTTTCAACTTGAAGCAGATTGTCCTTCCAGTTTTGATTACGTGGTAGAAGTGAACAAATGTTACAAAATGATCGGCCAATTGATGGAATGGGACGCAGCACGGCTAACCTGCAACAACCTGTCAGCACATTCCTTGACCGTTGACGATCAAAATGAAATGACTGCTACCATCAAATACGCGCTCTTTGGCACCAAAGGTCATTTTCAAGTTTTCCAATTCATATTTAACTTTCTTATAAGAGGATGTTTTGCATTGTTGGAAATTAAATTTTTAGCAAGTTATCAAACTAATCTGCCAATAAATTTGTTTTATTTATACTTCTACGTTGTTCATGGTGCAAGATTTGACGATGTGTTTCTATGGATATAGCGTAGGATATGTATTTTGGACATCGGGCAAGCAGTTTTTGAAGGAATCTGCCGACACTCCGTTCTATTGGTGCCCCTACCCTGGTTTGTACGCTCATTTTTCAAATAATAACTTCTCAGCAGAATGGATTCTTATGAGATGATAACCGCCAACTCTTAAAGCGTATAATAGTTAATGAGTTTTGGGCAGACAATGTTCGAACCAGGCCATAACGTAGCTGGCCGAGATACGGCGCTTCTACCGACTGAGCTATCTCACCAATCATTGTAGTTTCAGTTAATTACTCTTGGCATTTCATTTTAAACTAAGGTGTCAACCTAACAATGAATTTCAAATCATGGAACAGAGGCGAACCGAACGCGTATCTAGGAAGCACAAATTGTCTACAGTACATGATTGTGTATACAAACGCATGGGATGACAGTTATTGTTATTTCGGCAGATGTGTGTTTTGTGAAATGGATTTGGTATTTTGAAGCTTAAAAATGGTTTGTGGTGTGACAAAATCTATATTATAAAACACCCACAACGTAATTAAAAGGGGATGACTGTATGATATTTCAATAACTTTCTTTGGTTAATCGTTCTTACTAGGCTTATTTGAAAAGAAATTTTACAAGAATATGTGAATGATAAGAGTTTTATTAATTAAATTTTCTTCTTGAAAGCCAAAACACAAATTTAGCAATACATTTTTTTGCCATATATTTTACTTCGTTTTTGTGTATTTTCAAATAAAAAAATGAAAATTTCTGTTTTTGACAGACAATCTCTTGTCAAAATTTTTTCTCTTGAGTGTATAAAATCAATTTTTGCATGCCTTGTCATTCAAATCATTTCGTGTTTGGCATTTTTTTGTCTTCAGAACCGCATATATTAAAGATAAAAATGTATTAATGAGCAACGTTGGTATGTAAACATAGCAACACGTCACCGTTATGCAAATGACTGCAGATATTTATCGTAAAAAAAAACGAGAAATTTAGTACAGAATATGAATGAATTGAAAATTTTCACACTGGGCAAATAGATTTAAAACGTTCATACACATATATCCCATATTAATAATTTTAAACAGCTAAAGTTGACGTAGACAAATTTGAACAGAGTTTTACTTCTTAAAATCATTCAAAAAAACTTTGATTAATTTTGAATCTCGAGGTTGTACTTACTACTTAATGCCGGACTATAGGGGGTGATCAGACGGGTCAGTTGGCGTGAGCCTTGGAATTTAAAATTAACGACATTTTCCTTATTCTAACGAATTTTTGAAAAGTTTGGTTAAAAAAATCTTTGGTTGTATGTTTATACAGATAAAAATCTTTGGTTGTATGTGTATACAGATTAAAATCTTTGGATGTATGTTTATACAGGTCGGTGTATGAAATTGGACCTGGATTTGCCATCTGCTACTAAACTGTCTTTTTATGTAACAAAGAGTCTAATGTTTTAATTTAGTGATTTTATGATGTGAATGATATCCATTTAAAAAATGAATAGAATGATGAAAATTTCACATCTTGTCCATTCTGATGAAAATTATTTTGCACATGTCTGTTTTCTTCATTAACGGTTAGGTTTTTGTCAAAAAGTTTGTCAGCCAATCAGAGTTCAGTTGGTTTTAGCATGGTTTGTATTGCTGTTAAAGTTAAAAATCTAATTTCATTTAAAAGATTCTTTTCAGTCGCTAGATGCATATATTCAACCAATCGGTGTAGATGGAAGTTTTTATACTTTTAGCTTATAAAATCACTTTAATATCACTCCTCCTTAAATGAAACCCATTCTAAACCCTGATAGAATCCCACCAATGACTGTTTCCTTTCGTCCCTACTCACCTTATTTTTTTTTCAACACAAATCACTTTTCTACTTTTGACCATTGAGTGAGCAAACAAAAAACACAACTACCGATGTGTTGCTATGTGCATGTGCGAATTCATTTTATAAAGACAAACCAACTACCTTCCATTGTTAGCTACAAACAAATGTCGAAATGTTATAAAAACTTTAACATGGTTCCTCAATTAAGCAAACTCCCGCACGCTCCAAATCGGAATAAATTCAAGTTGCTAGAATGACTATATTAAATTTTTCTGGCATGTTTCGAAATATGAAATAATGTTACTGTAAAAAATTTTATAATTTAACAAAATTTATTCTTATTTCACCAAGAAATACATGTGATCATAGGTTTCGTTAGTTTTTCTTGTTACTCTGGCAGGGATTTTAATTTACTGCAGTTGAGGTTCTCTGATGAAATATTAACATTAACACAGCGTACCGTTTGTTTTTACTTGATATTCCTATCAAATATTATTTCTAAATATATCCAACTTCAATCCAATCATGTATTTTTTAATGGAAATCTTTTGGGTAGTTGCAATAATAACCTACGTCAAATTTTGGTGGTGTCATGGTGATGGGGTAGTGTACAAGAGGGCATACAGCTATCTGGGGGACAGCGGGAGAGCCAGCGTGTGCTATGACGACAGAATGGCAGGGATCATAAACCTGAAAGCCAGATCGTCTGCGGATTGTCTTGTGAAATGTTTTGTGAGTGCCTGATGGCTTGGTCTCATAATTATATTTTGATAAAAATTTTTATACTATAAATTGCATAAAAGAACTTACTGATTCCCTACATTTATTTGGGAATTGTTCCCCAGAAAACCACAAAGAGCAACTTGAGAGGCATCAACTTCATGTCGTCAGGGGCATCTTGTTCCTGTGTCCCGAAAAGAACTGACTTCTGGTACAATGTCACCAACATTTCCACTCTTCCTGAAGGATGTGTAGCTTACTTCACCCATGGTCAGATAATGTTTTTTGTTGCTTTGATATTTAAAGAATTTATCGATTAATTTTTTTTAAATTGACACTTGAAGTTTTTCTAATTAATTTTTTTAGTTTTTTGTTTTTTTTAAATTTTTTTAGAAGTTTTTTTAAAATTAACACTTGAAGTTTTCCTAGTTAATAAGGATTTATTCTTACAATTATGTACGCAAATTTCAGCATCATGTCGCAGTTTGTCATTTAAAACTTTTCCATTTTTGAGTTGACAGTCTTAAATTAAATAACAATTCTTGTCTTACACTGGGACACAGGCAGCACATACAAACACATACACGCTATCACACTCACACACACTACACAACACACACTCACACACACACATACGCATGCATACACACACACACATACTCACACACCAAAACCAGTAGAAACTTTTTATTCAAATGTACATTTCACCTGGCATGGTTGCAGAAAAAATTGAAAGCAAACAAATTTTTCTCTTCGCTTCTGTTTGGTTAGCAAACAAACAAACAAACAACTGCAACCATCTTCTTCCAGTTCTCATTTTTTTTGTCGAAGCACATTGAAATTTTTATGAAAAACTGAACTGCGAATTTGCCAAAAAAAACTTATGTCAATTTACGCTAAATATAAAATGTTTCAATTGGTCCCTTAAATTTGCATAACAAATTTAACGGAAAACATTTTGCAATGGAGAATTCCACGAAACTATTATTATCAAGGCGGCTTGTTAGCTCAGTCTGTAGGAGTGTCTGTTGACTCGGTTCAAACGCTTCCGCCACTAAATTTTAAAATAAGAATGCATGCACACGAATTTGCTTGTACCTCGTTTGGCTTAGATGAGCTTGATTTTTAGCACTAGAGTTGATTTTGAAAAATATATAAATGATTTTTAAGTAATTTTGCAAATGTCAGATTTGAGTAAAAATTGAACCAAATAATTAACATGCCAAGAAAACGTGTGCCTACAATAAAAATTTAAAGGAAATACTCAAAACAAAGTGAAAATAAAACATTCTAATCACTTCATACCTCAATCCAATCGTTGAGACCGACTCAGAAAAACTGAATGCAAACAGATTGTCCGGCGAATTTGGACTACATTGTCGAGGTGCACAAGTGCTACTCAATGATCACGAGGATGCTGGACTACAACACGGCTATAGACCGTTGCCATGAGACACTCTCGTCTCACTCTGTGGCTCTGGAAGACCGCTACGAAATGCTAGCGGTCACGCAGTATATTTTCCATGTCACCAACGGATTCAGTGAGATTAAGTCTTTTGTCAATGAATTTACATGTAAATCATTTACTAATCATTTAATTCGAGTTTGCAAAATCATTCACGATTTCAATCTTCGAGAATTTACATTGTTGTTAATTGACATTTATTTATTTTTTATTCTTCGTTTAAATATTTTAGTTTTTTTAATACCTACCTGATAAACTATTATTATTATTTAATATCATTATCATTTATATTATTATTATTATTTATATTTTTCCAGCTCTTCCCTCTTGTCCCAATATCCTCGACATCTGGACGTCCGGGATTCAATACGCCAAAACTCCATTCTTCTGGAACTTTTACCCTTGTTAGCAAGTTCATAAATGCGAAACGCGTATACATATAAACAAATATAAATAAATAATGGGCTTAAACCTAAGTTATATATGCCAATATCAAAATAGCATTAAAAGACAACAAAAAGCAGTCAAGCAACAAAATCAATTTTATTATCATAGAGAAAATCTTTGTTGGCCATATATAAGTCAAAATTCTTTTTGAAGTTGGAAACAGTATTTGATTCAACAACGCATGTAAAGCACATACATGCTGCATCATTATGATAGTTTCGATAATTAACTTTAAATTACACTAATTCTTAAATTTGAGCGCTGAGAAAAGTTTTGGCTATTCATTATTACGTTAAATACACTAAAGCCTGATTCAACAAAGTTTTAAAAGTTTAAAAATACTTGCATCAATCGTTTGAAGCAGCGGACAAGCGCCAGTTTACGTTCACGGCTTGGAGATCCGGTAAACCAAATGCAGGCTACCTATCAACAAGTTGTGTGGCGATGAATGCTGATGGCTGGAATGATGAGGAGTGCGGCACTCCCAAGTGTGTACTCTGCGAATTCGATCTTTTACCCTAATCTGGGTTGATTTCACAGGGGCGGGACCATCAGAGCTGGATGTAGAAGTTTGGTAGGTCGTTAGTGATGAAGAAGAGGAGGCCCTTAATTATTTTCATTGCTTTTCCTAGACTTGATTGAGCAACAATTTGTGTTTCAGCAATCTTTTACATCGCTTTTTCCACATTTTTACAAATTTTTTCTAATAAAATTAATGTTCTCAACCGGCATTGATACCGAAATTGCAAAGAGTTGTGCTAGTTTTGGCGAAAGTTAGTGGTTTTAATCGTTCTTGAAAAGTTTTTTTGAATCGCAGTCTATTATGATGACGAAATGTGTCTGATCGGTGAGTTAATTTTTTCAAATTTATCGTTTCTGTCAAGAATAGAAAGATTTATAATTTAAGTTTACTGGACCACAATAACCAAATGAAACTGATGATGATGTTAATGATGATGACGATGATGATGACGATGATGATGAAGAAGATGATGATGATGGCGTACGTACGTACGAACGCACACGTGTATGTATATATACGCATCCATATGTACAGGCAATACTTCTTAATCTCTAGTTTTATTTAAAAAAATTTAATCTAATATTAATTATTAAAGTATCAATTAAATATTATTTCTAAAATGTTACTTTTTATGAGCATTGATAGAAATAATTTTTTGTTATCTCTCGCTGCACTAGTCGTTATCTTTTTGTGGACCAATGGCGTTCTAGTCGCAACCTCACCAGTGGCTGGTAGGTTATATTTTTCTCATTTTTAAGAGTTTCCCCAAAAATTATTTCTACTTTATACACATTTATTTAGACTTTTAATAGATTTTATTTCAAATTTCTCGAAACAAGTATAGAAAATTGCTGAAATAATGAATCTGTTAACTATGAAGTAACATTTATATAAACTCATAAATACAAATGATATTATTATTATTTTATTATAGTATTTATATTAAAATTATTTTTAATTATATATAAAAGCAGAAAGCTGCTTACGGCATAGGACGTGTGACGACTGTTTGGCGGCTGGATCGTCGTGTGGCTGGTGCAGTCATGAGGTTTGTGGGTTGGTCGGCTGGCTGGTTGGTCGGCTGGCTGGTTGGTTGGTTGGCTGGCTGACTGGTTGGTTGGCTGGTTGGTTGGCTGGTTGGTTGGTTGATTGGTTGGTTAGTTGGTTTGTTTGGTTGGTTGGTTGGTGGGTTGGCTGGTTGGTTGGTTGGTTGGTTAGTTGGTTGGTTGGTTGGTTGGTTGGTTTGCTGGTTGGTAGTTGGTTGGATAGTTGGTTGTTTTAGTGGTTGGTTAGCTGGTTGATTGATTGGTTGGTTTGTTGGTTGGTTGGTTGGCTAACTGGTTAGTTGGATGGTTTGTTGATAAGTTGGTCGGTTGGTTAGTTGATTAGTTGGTTAGATGGTTGTTTGATTGCTCTCATATTTCAAATGATTTATTGTATAGTTTGAAGATTGCAGTTAACATCACAAATCAACGGCGTCATTACTTTTCCTAATTTTATTACTGAACGTTGGCCTACACACGCCACACACACACACACACACACCACACACGCACACCACACACACACACACCACACACACACACACATTAACACACAAATAAACACACACAAACAAACAAACAAATTGTATACATATATATATATAAACATGTATATATTTCAGTGTGTCTGTGTATGTGTGTTTTGTATGTACGTGTCTTTGTATGTGTGCGTGTGTGTGTGAGCGTGTGTGTGTAAAATGATGAATGATGGCGGTAGTCTTAATAGCTTGGGCTTATCGGTTTACAAGTTTAAACTTAATTCATTTAATGTCGGGTGTTATTTAAATGTGTGTGTGTGTGTGTGTGTGTGTGTCTGTTTGTATGATTGTGTCGATGATGATGATGACAATGGTGGTGCTGGTAAATGATGACGATTACAAGATGGTGAGGGTAACGATGATGATGAGGACATTGATGATGATAATAATGATGATGCTGATGATGATAATGATGATGATGATGATGATGATAATGATGATGATGATGATAATGATGATGATGATGATGATGATAATGATGATGATGATGATAACAATTTTGATGGAGATCTGGAAATCTCCAGCCAAGGTAGGGGCAAAACCCGGAAATACCAGAAAATACGTCACAAGGGACGCTGATGATGATGACGATGACAATATTAATGATGAAGCTAATGATAATGCGACGATGACAACGATGGTGATAATGATGTTAAAGATGATGATGACGATGATGGTGGTGGTGGTATTTATCCTTATCTGCTCTCCGCTTAAAGAGACCACTGCATCAGTTTGAGCCGATGCTAAATGGTTTTGAGTGAATGATTGATTGACGAGGCACGCACACATGTTGAGTTGTTATTCGATTTGCTGTTTCGTTATAGATAAAAATTTTTTTAACCGTCTTAATGGATTATTTTAGCCTACTTGACTGATTCATTGGATGATTGGTTGGTTGGTTGGTTGGTTGGATGGTTGGTTGGTTAGTTAGTTGGTTGGTTGGCTTTTGACTGATTGACTGATTGGTTTGTTAATTAATTGGTTGATTTGTTTGTTTATTTGTTGATTGATTCAATGATTTACTGATATGTTGATTGATTGATATGCCAACTGAAAATCTTTAAAATTGATTAATTGATTGTCTGATTGACTGACTGATTAACTGAAAAGAATTATTTTATAAATTTTGTCACATATTCAATCGAAGACATTTTAATAAAATTCTCAAATTCAAATTTGCAAATCTCATTCGGGTAAAGTATCCTACATATATTATTCACAAATTAATTTATTATAAGGTAAAAACTTTTTTTTATTAACGATTAATAATAAATTTATTGAAATTAGGTTAATTCAATTTAATTCTCAGCCATACGATGATGAAGCGAGATGCATTGACTTCATCTTCAACAGCAACTGCCCAAGTCACATGATCATAAGTCAAGGTCAAAAAACCTTATCAACAAACAATGTTGGTCATGATGACGTCTGATGGTGATGATGGTGGTGGTGGTGGTGGTGGGATGATAGTGAAAATGGCAGTCGTGATGATGATGATGACGACGATGTTGATGATGATTGGTGATGATGATGATGATGATTGGTGGTGATGATGACGACAATGGTGATAGTGATGGTGAAGGTAATGATGATGATGATGATGATGATGATAAAAAATGACCGAGCAGACGTGTCCGACGGCTTGTGACGAGAAGAGGGACTGTGTCCTCTGCAGGGCTTTCAAAGTTTACAGCAAGTTGAATGAGGAGGAATGCTCGAAGCAGTGCGATCACGTGGCTGTCGTTCAAGAGATTGATAAGATTGGTTGGTTGGTTGGTTGGCTGGCTGGTTGGTTGGTTGGTTGGTTGGTTGGTTGGTTGGCTGGTTAGTTGGATGGTTGGTTGATTAGTTGATTTGTTGGCTGGCTGTCTGGTTGGTTGTTTGGGTGATTGATTGATTGGTTGGCTTTTTGGCTGGTTAATAAATTTACTATATTATAAAATCATTAACCGTTTTCACTAATTAATCCATTATCATCCTAAAATTTGTCATCACTTATTTGTAATCATTCCAATCCAAATAACATAGACGAAGACCTCAGAGATTGGAAGCACTGTTTATCGCACGAAGTGGTGTTTATTTACCAACGTAATACTGTCAAGGTTCTAAGGAGTAAGAGGGGTAATTATAATAATTTATGCAATGATTCAATTGACGACGACGACAATGATGATGGTGACGATGATAAAGATGAAGATAACAATGGTGATAATTATAAAATTTATAAAGTTAAAAGAGATGATGATGATGAAAACGATAACGATGTTAATTTTGAATATTTAAAATATTAAGAAATCAACAATTGAGTATCAACAAATGATATCCAAAACCAACTGGCAATTGATAGTATCTTGATTGTAAACTTGAAATTATACTTAGATACAGTATCCAAAATATCATACTAATAAATTTATTCTAAAATCTCCACACAGATTTTACAGCGGCTAATACGGTAACTCCATCTGCACGAGTGGAGACATTTCTACCATCTTCATCCTCTCCATCTCCATCTCCTTCTTTATCATCTTCATTACCATCTTTCTCTTCCTCTTCTTCCTCCTCATCATCGTCATCCTCGCCGTCACCGCGGTTCTTGCCCTACGTAATGTGTGGTAACTGCTACGGAACGGTGACGTCATCGGCAGACTTGATGAACATAAACAGCATGGAGTGCTTCGGACGAGTCCAGTTGAAGGGGTGTCCAGTTGGCTGCCATCTTTATTTTTTGTTTCATGCAGGTTAAATTATTCTCTAAAAAAATATCATCAATTGATAGCGTTTCTGTGAGCAAAAGAAATTTTTTTAGCTCGCGTTTCACATTTCATGGCGAATGAATTTTAAAATTTGAATAATTGTTTGAGAATAAAATTTCACCAGAAAAATTACAACCACCCACAAAAAAAAGCACACACATTCATAAACCCACACACACTCACACACACAAACACACACACACACACTCAAAAACACACAAACCCACAGAAAACAACGCCAGCATATGGAGAAATTGCGCCAGCCAGCTATCGCCAGACGAGGCCTCGGACTACAGCAGTAGCGACATTCGCTTCAAGAGAAACAGCAACAAACAAGTGAGCAACTGTGGAACTATATCCCAAATTATCTCTGACGCGCATCTCAACAAGTTTCAACCTGAAGCTAGGAGGCTTTTTGAAAAGTTTGCCTCTAGATGGTTCAAATCTAGCTGCTCCGAAAATAGTTCCAGCTATGGTGGCGATAGAGTTCTTATGGCACAAGGGTATAACGAGGGAGGTGTAAAATTTTCTTCTACTACTACTAATACTACTGCTGCTGTTAAAAGGAACAGCAATAATAATAATAATAACAATAATATTAATAATAATAATAATTATTATTATGATAATAACAAGAATAACAATAGTAATAATAATAATTTCATTGTAAATAGAAGCAGATATAATAGTAATAATAATAAAAATGTGATTAGTCGTAGAAAATACATGAGCAGTTACAACGCTAATAGTAATAATAATAATAATAATAATAATAATAAAAATTTTGTGAATAATAATGTTAAAATTATTAAAACTCCTTCTGCTGCTGCTACTATTATTACTGCTGCTTCTGCTATTATTGCTTCTGCTACTACTAATACTGCTACTACTACTACTACTTCTGCTACTACTACTACCACTACTTCTTCTACTACTACTATTACTACTACTACTACCACTACTTCTACTACTACTACTACAGCTACTACTACTGCTACTACTAATACTGCTACTACTACTACTGCTGCTACTACTACTACTATTACTACTATTTCTACTACTATTACTACTACTACTGCTATTACTGCTATTACCACTACTTCTACTACTACTACTACTACTATAGCTACTACTACTGCTACTGCTAGTAACATTATTCATTATTATTATAATAGCAACAACAATAAATCTTATTATGATGATGATGGTGATGATGATAATGCAAATATGAATGATGCTGATGACGATGACGACGATGGTGATGATGACGACGATGATGATACAAATTATAACATTTATGATATCAATAAGAATAATCTTAATAACGATAATGATAACAATGAGAATGCTATCATCAGAGAAGATGATGATGATGAAGAAGAAGATGATGATGGTGATGATGGTTTTAACATTAGTTATGACGATAATGATGAATACGATGATGATTTCAGATGAGTGAAGAGCTGTCTTTGATGACGGTACTGACATATTGCTATAGAAAGATTGATGAGATTATCATTCTTAAAAAAATAATTTATAAATTTACTCGTTTTTAGTATTTTAAAATAACTTGAAACTCATTTTATTCTTTAAAATAACACACCGAAATGTCTTATTTGAAAAATGAATCGTTAAAAAATATTTTTGCAAAGGTTATCTTAGCTAGCAATTCAACTTTACAATTTGTTATTCACTAATGAAAAAATTTATTTTACAATTTATTCTAATTTATACTTATTAAAATACTTCACATATCTACATTCATATACAAGGATTGCTAACTGCAACTAGACTAACATTACGTTACTAAACTGTAATGCATCGTATTTTTTAGCATTGGATTTCCATATTAACATCAGAGGTGTCCTAGGAATGTGAAAGCCTTGTGAAACCTAAGCACTCCTCAGTGAAAAAGTTCTCATGAACCCCCTAAATTATAATGTCAGGCTATACTAGCGATTAGCATATTCGTTGTTTATTAGTTTAGAATTGTATTTGATAAACATTTTCAGTACTTCATGCCTTACTTAATTGTTCGTATTTTTATTCGCATTTGTATTTGTAGTTTAAACATCTTTGTGTGTATTTTAGAATGTATAATATATGTTTGTGTGCGTGTGTGTGCGTATGTATGTCAGTTTATTCTTGGATCAATTTATTCTTTATTGTTGACAATATTATATTAAAAACACGTTTTTACCAGAAGACTTCGACTTTACTTTAAAGTCGAAACTTGAAAATCAGTTTAAATAAAACTTAACCATGCCTAAAAGAAAATGTGTATGTGCTTTGTATGACCTTTCAACCAACGACACAAACAAAATGGCCGACCAACAACACAAACAAAATGGCCGACAAAGACACAACAGTTACAAACAACAAAATGATATACGATTTCTTTTTTAAACTATCTTGAATTATTGTCGCAACGCGCCATTGAACAACTCGTTCTACGTCATTGCTTTCTTGTTCTTATCACTGTATTATGACATCAGTCATACTTTAATATACACTATGTAATATGTATGTATGTATATGGTTGTGTGTGTGTGTTTGTTTGTGAGTGTGTTTGTTTGTGTGTGTGTGTGCGTTTTTGCGTCTGTGTGTGTGGTTTATACGGTTCATGCTTTTCGATGTTTATTCACTTGAAATTAATCATCTGGTCTAAGGATTAGGCATTTGCAAAAAGTTGGTGATGTATTACATTTATATTTTAAACATACTTCTACATTTGGTTACTCGGTAGGTGGTTCTTAGATGTATCAACAGAGAGCACAAACACACAAACACACAGTGTATGTGTTTATATAAACGTGAATCAAGGCCTCACACACGTCGTGTGTGCCAGGCACCTAAAACATCTACTCTACCACGCCGACCAATCAATTTATCACAATTAATTTTAATTTGTTTTATTATAAAATAATACTTTATTACGAAATAATAATAGAATAATAATGATAATAAATTTGAATAATTAGATAATAATAATATTAAACAAAATAAAAAAAATTTTCTAATTCAAATTTTCCAAACCATAACACGATCATCCGTCTAATAAATTTCTTTTTCTTCAGATCACAACCCCAAATAAATTACTTCTCCAATTCAAATAAAATATATAGAATAATTTATAAAGTTTTGCACTTAATATTTAAGTTTCAATCTAAATTCTTTCCTAAGTACTTATCAAATATATTAAATGAACCTAAACGCCCCGGTTTACGATCGTCTTCTTGTTCTCACATCTTGTTAACTCGTGTTAAACGCTCTTTTGCTAAATCGGCCTTTGCTTTTTTTGGCCCTTTTCTCTGGAACTTTCTACATCCTTCTCTGACTACTTTTCAATCACTTTTTTTGGCCCTTTTCTCTGGAACTTTCTACATCCTTCTCTGACTACTTTTCAATCACTTTTTTTGGCCCTTTTCTCTGGAACTTTCTACATCCTTCTCTGACTACTTTTCAATCACTTACGAAGTTCAGAGCGGATCTCAAGACTTGAGGTGAGTATGAGAACCGCCGTACCGAAGTGAATCTGCATTTTTTTTTAAATGGTGTTTTGTGTTTAAAAATTTTGTAAATGGGGAACAGGAGGGAAATAGGCGGGAAAGAGTTAAAAAAAATAGGGAATTGAAATTTTCGGGAAAGTTGTCATAAATTGGAGTTCGGGAAAGAATCGAGAATGAGGAAGAAATGTGAGGGAACTGGGAACAAATTTCAGTTCTCGCTCACCTCTATTTGTGTCGTTAATTGATGTTATTTTGTCATTATTCAATTTTACTGCTTCACTGCTGCTGTTGTCAAATCTACGCTATCTTAATTATTTTCACAATTTTTTGTATGTGTGTGTTTGTGTGTGTGTGTTTGTGTGTGTATGTGTGTGTGTGTATGTGGGAAGAATAATAATTTAAATATTTAAGTTAAGTGGGGTTTTATTTGAAGATATGTAGAGCAATTAAAGTGTCGTAATTGTTGTTTGGGGTTTTGCTTATGCTGCAGATTGTTTGTTTGTTTAGTATGTTTGTCTGTTTAAATGTTTGTATGTATGTGTGTAACATTTGATTGTTTCTGAGGTTTCAACTTGTTTCATGTTCATTCTGTTTATATTTGCCTTTGTTGATGTGTGTTCTTATTGTTTGATGTAATAGTGTAATATGTAAATAATGTAATAGTTGAATTGCTGGGCTTATGTTGTTGTTTATGTTGTTATTAATTACGTTTCTGTTGTTTCTGTTTGTTGTTGTTTATGTTTGTTGTTGTTGTTTATGTTAAATCTGAGTAATTAAAAAAATTTTTGTGTTTCTTTTTTTTCATCTTGCATTGTTTCCTTTGAGTTTTTTCTCTGTTAATTATGACGCCAATTTTTTGGAAGGAAGATGGTAGGGTAATGTAATAATGTGTTTTATGGTGGAGCTAGAATGAATCGCTGTTTTTAATGATATGAGTGTTGTTGTTATGTTGTTGTTGTTGTTAATGTTAATATTGTTGTTTTTGATGATGATGTTGTTGTTGTTGTTATTTTTGTTGCTGATTTAGATGTTGACGCTATGTGATTGTTTTTCTAACTTATTAAGGTCGACAGTGATGCATTGACGATGTATTTGCTGAACATGCGGAGACAAAATTTTATCCTACACATTAAGCCCCACATACAGCCAAACACAAACACAAACATACAGACATACATGCAAAAACATACAGCCATACATGTAGAAACACAATTTCATGCAAAATAAAAACACACTACTATGCTTATTTACACAGATATACATACAAAAACATATAGACATACATAATAAAACATGCAAACATACTTACAAAAACATACAGCCATACATACACAAACATACAGCAAAACATACAAGAACATACAGCCATACATACACAAACATACATTCATGCAAACATAAAAACATACTATCATGCATATATACAGATGTATGTAAATACAAATAGGTATATAACTATCTATATCTATCTTCAAATAAAACATTTTAATAGAAACAATCACAAAATGAAAACACAAATGTTATAAGATGTTGTTCATCTTATCAAACATAAACAGAAAAAGATAAATACATACGTACATACAATCAGTCAAACAAACACTCACACAAACAAACAAACAAACAAACAGACGAACAAACAACAAGACATACAACAAACTAACGAACGTGAGCAAACATGACATGCGCCTGATGTATTGTCGTCTGCCAGACGTAAATTTCGGCGGGAAACAATGTAGAAAATGCACGACCGCCGCAATGGAATGCTGGCGTCCGCAGTGTCTGGTGTCGTTACTACAAGAGCTACAACTGTCAATTAGCTGCTAATGCAGCTATCGTTACTACCGCTACTACTGTTATTACTACTGCTGCTGCTACTTTTACTTGAGCATCAGTAAATATTAGTAAAAGCAGGTAATGTAAAAGTAGTACCTGTCATCATCGTCATCATAGTCGTCATCATCATCGTCATCTTCATCGTTCCTTTCATTGCAGTTTTTTGCACTCAAGGGAAAGTCGAGAGAGGGAGAGTGCAGAATAATGGAAGGAAGGAATTTGTGTGGAGAACTAAAAACTCAACATTATGCATCACGGTAGAAAGAGAGAGAGAGAGAGAGAGAGAGAGAGAAAGCGAAAGAGTGAAAGACAAATAAATAAATGAATAAATAAACAAACAAACAAATAAACAAGTAAATAATAAAAAATAAAAACGAAATAGAGTGAGAAAGAATAAGAAGGAGAGAAAGAAAGAGAGAGAGAGATAGAGAGAGAGAAAGAGTCGATGAAATGACGGAAGACAATAAAAAAAATTAAAACAACAAAACAAAAAAAATATGAAAAAATTCACCAAAAAAAAAAAGAAACATGAAGACGTAAAAAGATAAGGGGATATAAAAATATAATAGACTCCCAGATATGAATGTAAAATTTTTATTCAGTGCTCCGCAGATTATGCTACAGAACATGCATGTGGAGAAGTTTTTAAACGTTAATGTTAAGCGTCCTTTATGGTCATAAACATTTATTACATTTTCGCGAAAAACACACACCCACAACACACACATACACGCACACACAACACACACGCACACAACACACACATACACGCACAGACACGCACACACAAATACATTCATATTAAGCAGTGTTGTTAACTGTATTGCCAATACCTATACCAATACCGGCTTCAAAATGTATTGCCAACACCAATTTCAATACTCATTTTTAAAAGTTTTACCGGCAAATCCCACACCAACCATTACTATTGTATTTTTTAATCGTTGCTACACAGTAGCTGAACAATTATTTCACCCACGACAAACACATTCGTTAGTTAGTGTTTAAAAATGAAATACACATCACACAACTATCGTCTGAACCGCCAAATTTAAAACAAGTTGAGATGAGTTTCTATGTCTTGGGGGGCTATTTTGAGATGTGGAAGTTCAGTAGGCAACCAAAAAACAACTGAAACTAGTTTTGCCAAAAGATAAATGGTGATTATTTTGACATGTCTTTCACAAGTTTACTGTCAGTAAATAAAACTATTCTCTAACTCTAACTCTAGCTTATACTGAAATATCTATAACATGTAACAGAAAATGGCATATCAACACATACACACAGTTTCAATGTGTATCCTTTACATTCTTTCATTATTTATACATTAACACTTTGTCGTTAAGACTTATGTCAAATAGAGAATTAATACTTATTGAATTATAGAAAATATAAAATTGAGTAAATATTCCCACCAAAAGACAATAGTATCGTTAATTTTGTTTGTATGCATTTATGAAATGTTAAACGTTTATGTATTGTATATGTGTTTTTATGTTTAGGTCGTTTGTATGTAGTGATGCGTGGAGGGTTCTATGATTTATAAATAGTTCTCCGTTTTTATGTTGTTGTTGTATTTTTTGTATTGTATTGTTTGTATGTGTGTGTGTGTTGGGGTATGTAGGTGTGTATGACAAACATACATACAAACATACATTCATACATACATACATATATTTATACAAACCTACATACATACATACATACATACATACATACATACAACATTTTTTGTATGTTGGTCTCGCACAGACTGGTTAGTTTTTGAATTCTTAAAATAAAGTTTAAAATTAGGTATTTATTTATTACACTATCACTTGGTTTTAACCTAACTTTGATTTTACAATTTTGTATCTTGTTTTTCGTTATTCTTCTAATAATATTGGTCTTATATTAAGCGTTTCTCACTTTTAATTCACTTATATTCATTTTACAATTGTACTGCAAAATTTTTTTTTCTCATTTCACCTGCATACCTTAAGTTAAACGACGTTTATTTTTTTGTGTTTATATTTTACACTAAATCCCAACATAAATTCATTTTAATAAATCATCTAGGAAATTCATTCATTCATTCACTCATTCAGTCATTCATTTTTTCAAATATAATCTAAACTATGTGACAGCATATTTGTATACCAACTTAATTTATTCGTACAACAGCAAATTTCGTAATTTCAAGTTCTTACTCCCGTACACTGGTATACAGTTGCACACTTGCACGCGGTTTCCACTAATTTTTACAGAAAAAAAAACTAAACATAAACAAAACAAAACAAAACAAAAAAACTAACTAAGTATTTACTTCTCCTAGTATAAGCCGGTATATACATATGTGCAGGTGCATTTATGCATTTGCATATATGTACGTATTCTCATCTAGTCGATCATCAATAATATTCAATCAATACCAAAAACTAGCCATAATCACCAATTTAGTTAATTCATCATAATTCATCACTTCATTTAATCGTTCATCAATAGCAATCAATTACCACCAAATACTAGTGCATGTATGTATATATGTATATATATATAGGCATCTATTTTCAGCTAATCATTCATCAATAATAATTAATCACAACCAAATACTAGTGTATATATATGTATCTGTGTGTATATATGTCTTCTTTTTTTGTGTGCTTCAGCACCGTTCACTAGCGGGCCCTCCAGAGCACATTTCCGTTATACCCTCAAGTGGGTTTGTGTTACTTCCTCTCGGCCAGCGCTTATTGCAGCCATCCTTTGT